CACTATGTGACTGCTACCCAAAACAAAATATCTAGATCTTTACTTCAATACTTTTCAATCAAATGGCGACCATACAAAGTAGGTATTTTAAGCCAAGTATGAATGGAGATGAGTGTAGGATGAGTGGCGCGATCTTGTATTTATTTATCTATTTACAGCTAGCAGCTAATACAATAGTGTTAATGTTGTTTATTTTTATTTAGGTTTATTTATTAGGTTTGTTTATTTATTATTCATTAAAGGAATTCTTCGATCAAAATAGTCAAGCAAGATGAAAATTCAAATTACAATCTATGTATTGATCACTGTTGTATTTCTTAAAGAAATCTGGGTAAATAAATTGAATTGATTGATAATTTCACATACACGCACGAAAAAAGAATTTAAACATTTAGAGTACCAGGCCTACTATTAACCGGTCGCGGTACGGAGGAAGCAGTGCTGCCTCTTATTTGTTTGCTTTTAGATTAACGTAAAGTACTAATAAACATTTACCAGATCAGAATCCTTACTTGTATCGCACAGCTGGACAATTTCTAATCCGAGTAGCGTGTCTCTCCAAATACTGAAAAAAATATCAGTTAAATTTCACTTGTTCACATTGTAATTTTGTGCTTTCAAACTTTTCTGAATATTAACAGTCTACTGTTCTTTTAAATCTTGAAAGGGAATCTTAAATTGTAATTAGTTTAAGTTCATTAGTCTGTAAGTTCACTTTTTGTTCAGATATACCTTACCTAGAGGACCCTGTGCTGCTCTGCAGCATTGAAGTATGTTTTTTGATTGAGTAAAAAGTTCACATAATATGAATACGTTCTTTTCTGTTTTTACATGATTCATTTTGAAATTTGCATTAGATTTTTAGTTTAATCACAAGAGTGGCTTCTGTCAGGGTTTCATCTATCTATTTATAAGTAGTTTGGCTTGCTGACCACCCTTTTTACAGTTTGGATGATTTTTTTGCAGAACACAATTGTAATGGTAAAATTGTTCTTACTTTAGTCCCTAGCTAGTCAACTGTTACCTAGTCTTTCAAACGCTTTGTTTAAGTACCTCACTTTTTGTTTCTGTATATAGTTCTGTGTTGTTTTTCAAATGATTTTTAACTATTTATTCTCTTGTTTTTTCTTTGTTATATTTAATAGTAGTGAGACCATGTTATACTATCTAGAGTCTATGGTCCTTTTTGGCACCTTTTTTTTGTTAACGAGGTCTATTGTAACATCTGTAATTTAATGACCAATAAAGATTTATTAATTTATTTATACTATTATAAATTTGAGGTGGTGTCTGTCACAGAGCATAGAATAAATATACAACTCTCGGCGCGGCTGCGGGTTCAGGGTGTAGAGTAGTATTATTCGTACAGCCATATAGTATTATTCATTCGTTTTCGTTTTTGTTATTTATTCGTCTCGTTATGTTTTTGTAGACTTTATGACGACCTCCTAGGAGCGACAACCATGTCTAGGCTTGACAATGACACCATAAGTGTGTCGAAACCAGTAGCCATTAAGTCTACCAAAGATTACGTTGGCAACAAGGTATTTTACCTCTAGATTAGTAATTGTTAAGTAATCCGGAAGGCAACACCTCAGAAAGGAAGTAGGCCTAAGTATTTTTCCAGGATTTTAAAATAATTTCTGAATCCAATGATTACAACACTTAAACTTTAGCTAGTTTAAAGAGTATTACAATTAATCTAAGCCTACACGTGGTCATGCCTGTACTTCCTCCACACAAGAGTTGTATGAGCTGCAGGGACTTGAGTATGTGTATGATGTGAACACCGATGTGACCGGTAGATGCAACTTCCATGACCATCGCGGGGTCTGACCTCCCCACATCCGTCTGGTCGTGATGTCCAATGTCATATCTGTAAAATCATAATGTAAAAGGTTACTAAACCAACACAAACTTTCTTCCAGTTCAAAAGTTTGATGTTTTATCAAACATTTGGTGAACGACGAATTATTTTTTCAACACTTTCAAAATATTTGAATCCAAGCACATTGGTATGACACTGTAACAATTTGGGATATCAATACTGACTGCTTTATGATATTGAATTTTCTATTAATTTCTTTTACAGCATAACAAACTTTTTAAACTAAAAATTACTTCTGCACAATGTTATTTTGCCCAATATTTATAGTCTATTATATAGAGTTTCTGATGAATTTATATGGTAAAATATACCAAACATAAGAGATTATTTAACTTCAAAAACATAACTTTTGCAGTGTTATAAACACACAGTTGTAATCAGTTATTTGTAAAATAACCCATAACTTAAAATTGTTTAGGATGCCGAGAACCTATTTTATGGTCTTCTGCTACAAACAAAAACAAGTAAAAATATCTTACTTCAACTGTAAAAAAAATACCCCCGCTGCAGCAAACCTGCTATCTAAGCAAATTCCCATTTGCCTGGATTGATTTTCAATTAATCTATTAAATTAACATTATGTTTAACGAGTACTTAGGTTAGTTGTTACAGGGAAACTAATAAAGTGTGTTTTTTATTAAAATATCAATAGCTTAGTATGAAATAAATAAATCCGCCAAGTTTGATCAAAATAAACAAGCCAACTACGACATTTTACAATATTCTCCATAAAAATAATATGGGAATTTTAAATTAAAATTTTTTTAAATTTTCTCCGTAACCATTCACCGTACAAAACACTTTGATATTCTAAATTATTTTGTTAAGCTCTTTAAAAAAGTCTGGAGAAAAATTGATAAATTTTGTGTTTTAAGGGTAAAAAATGAGAAAACCCCATTTTCACACCATAAAACCCCCCGTTAAACACTGTTCCCATGGTCCGATCATGCTGGTTTGCGAACTCATTTAAGTTTATCCCGTCTTTACACCTTCAAATTAAATTTTATCAGAATCGGACAAAAATTACTCAAGTTAATCGTCCAGACGGCAGACATATATAAAAATTTGAACGAATGGTGTTTTTGGCCTCTGGGGACATCAAAATGATAAAGTAAATCAGTCCCGGGCCTAGGTCTTACCATGAGAGCTACAGTAATAGCTACTTCCCCATAGGGAAATATACCTAACAATAAAAAATACCTAATGAATTTTGTAAAGTAAATTTTGGTAGGTTTATAAAATATATTATCACACCCCTGGTTCATCAAACTTGCAGACTAAGCAAATTCCAATCCGCCTCATGAACGCTTTATAGATATAGGCCTACAGTATACGTAACAAATTTTAATTAACGGGGGTTTTATAACAAAAAAGTATATTAGCCCCTATTATAAAGTGGTATATAAATAAATTACTACTATAATGGTGGTCTATATTAATATTTGCTATAGTATGATTGACGTTCAAAAAATTAACTTAAGAAAAACTTACAAGGCCAAATGGAAGTCTACTTAAGTTCCTCAAAAAAGTTAACATAAGTTACACTAAAATGACTTCCTATAATGTTTCATGAATTAGTAACTATTGCTTATCAGACATGAGTTATCTGACAACTACATAAATTGTATCACTAATCAACAATGTTGCTTGAATCAAAATGATAAACACCACTTTAATGGATGGGATTATAGCAATTAATTGTCAGCAGAAAATGTATTTTATTATTTATAATAATAAATAATAATAATAAACCAGAAAAAATCGGGCATTTATCAAATTAGTTAACTCAGTGTGACATGACAGTTTTGTTGTGAGATGATGAAGTATGTTGGAACAACAAAAAGAAATGTAATAATTAGATTGAAAGAACACACTTCTCACATAACACATTACAGACCTAAAAAATCTGCAAATCAACTTGCTATTCTTATTATGGTTTATGGAAACTGCCTTGTTTTAAGGTGCAAACATGAGGGTAAAGTCAATTTTCAGTTTTGACTTCAACTGATTTTACTCAAAAACCGTTTGAGACAGAAAAACAAACTTTAAATACATAAGTTGTAGATATTTTATTCCTGCACTAACTAATTTGCATCAGATTTAACATCCAAGCATTGGTTCAGCCAGCCTTTACAGACCAAAATATAAAGGCTTAGCCTACATCGTATATTTTGACCGGAAATTGCTTTAACTAAATTTGCTTTAAATTTAAAAAAAACCCCGTCTTGTTGCACATTTACACTATCATACAGGGGACTGTATCAAATTTGACAATTCTGGGTCGTATTTTGTTTTAAGGTAAATATAAGTTTTTAATTCGTCAAATGAGAGGTATTTTTGTTGAAAAATAAATTGGTATTGAAACAAATGTTAGTTTTAGTCAATGGTTTTAGGCCCTACTTCTTTCTCACTATTTCTCCAAGTGCAAGACTGCGCTGCACAGTGCACTGCACATGTTGATTGGAATGATAACATGTGGTTTTATAAGGTCGTTGATCCCTGATTCCCCTGCTACCTACTCCTTTCTATTTCAACCCGAAGAGGGGTGATGTTAGTGGGTGTTGGGAGGGGAACGAAATGCATGCGACACGAGACTACATCCTGATAGGCTCAGTCCAAAGAGAACAGAAATAAACAATCGGTTATGGTTATATGACAGAGTTAGAATACAACTGAAGTTAGCACCGGTACTACTATTATTGATGATGTTTGCATGAAGTCATCCTAAGAGCATCGCTTCGCTTCTCTCAATGATAAAAATAAATAATTTAATTGAATTAAGAATGTTACTTACTGCGTGTGCGTGCCTCCTGATTAAACAACCCTATTTATTAATACCTTATAATGTATAATGCATATAATAACTGTGGGTTTAACAAAGTAATATAGCCATTACATATAAACAAACCACTTAGCGAATTTGTCATAATCAACGCTCAAGAGCGGCACAATTGATCCAATCGAGTAATGTTGAAACAGGTCTGAGTCGTCAGGGTTTAAGCTCGAGTAAATCGAAGTGCAATCTCCGAGGAGAGGAGAGGAGCCTAGCTGCTCACTGCTCAGCTTGTTTAGCATCGTCTGCCAGTGTTTATAAATGCAACGCAGACGGACTTTAGAAATTAATTTTATGGAAGTTTTTAGTGGTAATACGAACTTCAGGTTTCAGGGAACGTGGTGCTATAGCTTGATCTTTAAATACTTATCTTTAAATTTAGGTTGTATTAAATTAAATAACAATTTTTAAATTTATTATGAGTGTAATAACGTTAAACGATAGAATTCACAGAAGAAGTGGCCATGTTGCTGTCCCTTACAAAAACTGTATGCTCGTTTGGGGTGGATACATGGTAAGCAATCCTAAAATTTCTTACGTACATAAAATAAAAATAGTTTTAACATTTCGTGATTTGGTGTTAACATTGGTCAAACCAATTAAAATACTATGTAAGTATTTTACCATAAAATCCTATGATTGTAAGACATTTTTATAGGCCTAACAACTAATTAACTTAGGTACTTACAATTTAGCTTAACTTGAATTAAAATGACCTAGTTTATTGTAGGTTTTTATAATTTCCATTTTTTGGGGTTTAACTTAGGCCGTGTAGGCCTTCAGTTCTGCAGAGAACCTGCAATATTATGAGATGAATAACAATAAATATCGATGATTATTTGGTTCGGTATTTCTGCAGAGAACCTGCAATATATTATTGGATAAATAACAATAAATTAATATTGATGTTTAATTTGGTTCGATATTAATATCATAAATTGTATACCATATATAACTTATGATTAAATAAAAACAATAACAAAACATTATCAAAACTTTTTTTTATTTATTATTTATTTGTCCCTTAGTTTTTTCTTAGATGAGCCTATTTAAGAATAAACTGAAGAAACCAGGAATTTTTGAATTCTAAGTTATGTGGTTAATAAGTAGGTATATCAACATTATTAAAAATTGAAAACAATTTTTGGTTAGGCTTTGAAATATTGTTCGTTTTATTCGAATAAAAACGCAAACAAATCATAAATTAATTCTGTGTTTACATTGGAAAAAAATAAACAATATTTTGTAATGGATACCGGTATATTGAATTGGATAAACATCGATAGCCTATGTATTGTTAGGTATTCATCCGATAATATATCGCAGGTTCTCTGCGGAACTGTACCCAGGCCGGGGAACTGGCCTGAATAGGTATAATTTAGTTAGTCTGATCAATACAGTTTCAATTTTGTTTGTCGTTTTGCAATGCTTACCCTATAATTAACTTAGTGGTGTATCATACCTTTTACTGCTTGAGTTTTGAAACTTGGGAAATCGATTAGGCCTATGAGCTTAACTGACGGTTTTAAATTATTTACTTTTGATTTTTGGTATAATATTTTGAACTTTTTAGGGTATTACCAATTTATTATCTACCGACATAATTTACATTTTAAGTTTAACACCTGAATTCATTATTGAAATGTTTTTCAATGGAAGTCTAATGTGTGTGCTATAGGCTGCAATTTTGATTGCCCTTATGTAAATCATCTACTTATCTTACATGAAGTTTCTGACTGTTCAACATTTTAGGAGCAAATGCTTGATGCTGATATAGAAATCGCCTACAGCACCTACCATCCCACCGATGAGTTATGGGTGTACAACTGCCTTACAGAAGTATGGTGAGTAATTTAAATCCATTATTATAATTCCCAGTGATTAGGCTTTAAGCCAGGATGTCTTGATTCAGAGACATGGCTTTGCCCCACAAGAGAATTTTGAGTAACTTACAGCCTTTTTAACATCTAATGCTGTGCGTCTAAATCTAGTGGGAGCTCAATTGTTATGAAAAATATTACCATATTTGAACGGAACACACAAATTACAGCCTAGTGGGCCTGCAAGTGACCCAGTGACTTACAGTTATTGAATAAAAAATTGCATTGTTGATGAGACCAAATCCAGTAGTTTTACTGAACATTCACACAAATGTAGCCCAATCATAAGTTTGGACTGAGGTGTAAGAAGGATAGAACTGTTTGTTCTTAAGTGTAGCTTTGTCACACTCCACATAAAATGAATACTTAATGTCCTGTACCAGTCGTGTAGAGGGTAAAAACTTGAAAACAGAACAATTGCTTCCCCTATATCTGAGAAAATTAATACTCACCAATAGTAATTAAGCCTATTTTTTTCTAATGTTTAGCCTTTGTAGTTCATAAAACTGATCTTACTTCTCTAAAACTAGTAGTACGCTTATTCTGCGCGTAACGGGATGAGTGAACATGAGCGCAATAATGAAAGAGTCCACTCACACCTAGCCTACTTACCGGTGTCACTGGTGAACACAATAATGTTATTTGTATGGACAAATCAACCAAATTTCAGTCAACAACAATCCTAACTTCTCGTCCATTAATTAACCAAAGTCATTGGTAATATATAATGGATTTCCAACAGTTATCGATAGGAGGTAAATCCATCGTTCCTGTACAAAACGTCTTTTGATTAAATGAAGCATATTTCCATATTTGTTATGAGGCCTATCATAAACAAAACTAAGCCAAACTGACCTAATCTAACTTAAATTAATTGCCAAAGCACAGTGTAAGGAATCTCAAAAAAATATCGTATGGCTTACAATGATGATTTATAACAACGATAGCACTATTATATCATCTAAAAATGATAAAAAATCCAATATATGTTTATCTAACTAATGAATATAAATGCCATAAACTGTTCCCACACTCCGCACTGCTTGAATTTACCACTTCCATCGCCACTACCTACGTCGTGGACCTGTTTCCCTCCCTTCCCCCAGCATTTTAGTATTGAATGTAGATCTAACTACCACAAACTCATTTACCAAATCCTTCCCCACTTCCTACGACGTGGACCTGTTTTCCTCCCTTCCCATAGCCCTTTGGTATTGCAGGTGCATTTATCTAACTGCCACCAACGGTTCCCACACTCCGCACTGCTCGCCTTGACTACTACCTTCACCACTTACTACGTCATGGACCTGTTTCCCACCCTTTCCATAGCATTTTAGTATTGCAACTGTTTCATTGCAGATACATAAATCTAACTGTCACCAAATTGTTCACACACTCCGTACTTCTCGCCTAGACTACTTCCTTTATCACTTCGTACGTCGTTGAGATGTTTCCCTCCCTTCCCATAGCATTTTAGTATTGCAGGTACATTAATCTAACTGCCAAAAAGGGTTCCCACACTCCGGACTACTAGCCTTGGCTACTTCCTTCACCACTTCCTACGTCGGGGACCTGTTTCCCTCCCTTCCCATAGCATTTTAGAATTGCAGTTACATTAATCTTACTGTCACAAAGGGTTCCCACACTCCAGACTGCTAGCCTTGACTACTTCTTTCACAACTTCCTACGTCGTGGACCTGATTCCCTCCCTTCCCATAGAATGTTATTATTGCAGATACATTAATCTAACTGTCACAAAGGGTTCCCACAATCTGGACTGCTAGCCTTGGCTACTTCCTTCACCACTTCCTACGTCGGGGACCTGTTTCCCTCTCTTCTCATAGCATTTTATTATTGCAGATGCATTAATCTAACTGTCACAAAGGGTTCCCACACTCCGGACTCCTCCCTTCACTACTTCCTACGTCGTGGACCTGTTCCCCTCTCTTCTCATAGCATTTTAGAATAGCAGTTACATTAATCTTACTGTCACAAAGGGTTTCCACACTCCGGACTGCTAGCCTTGACTACTTCTTTCACCACTTCCTACGTCGTGGACCTGATTCCCTCCCTTCCCATACAATGTTATTATTGCAGATACATTAATCTAACTGTCACAAAGGGTTCCCACACTCCGGACTGCTCGCCTCGACTACTTCCTTCACCGTTTCCTACGTCGAGGACCTGTTTCCCTCCCTTCCTATAGCATTTTATAATGGCAGATACATTAATCTAACTGCCACAACTGCCCACACTCCGGACTGCTGGCCTTGACTACATCCTTCACCACTTCCTACGTCGTGGACCTGTTTCCCTCCCTTCCCATAGCATTTTTAAAATTGCAGATACATTATTCTAATTGTCACAAAGGCTTCTCACACTCCGGACTGCTCGCATTGACTACTTCCTTCACTACTTCCTACATCGTAGACCTTCCCTATAGTTCCATAGCATTTAAGTATTACAGATACATTAATTTAACAGTCATAAAGGGTTTCCGTACTCCTTTCTTTTCACTGCTCACCTTTCCGCTTCCTTTACCACTCTCTACGTCGTGGACCAGCCCCCCCCCCCCCTCCTTCGCATAGCATTTTAGTATAAAAATATACCAACATCTTTGAATATTTAATATTCAATGCCAATATTAAATTGAATAATGTAAAAAGCAGCTTTGTTCTAAATACATACATATATACTTTTAATTTAAAGGTGAATTTTAATACTGAACATAAACGGTATATAACTGCCGACTAATATTGTTAATTTCAATTTATGATTCTGAAAGTTTTGAAATTTAATTAACTTAAATAACATTATTCTGAAAGCGGTGAAATTATCATTATATTATATATTATATTATTATATATTCATAGACGCCAATCTGTTTACTCCATGAATGAAAGAGCTTAGGGTAAAAATCGTTCTCTCTGTCTTAAGTAGACAACAAAATTGTTCGTCGCAAAACGTAAACAAATAAAAAGAAGAAGAAGGTAGCTCCTAATGTTATTCTTATGGGACAAATTTAAAAATGTTTTTTAAGTATTTTATAATTACTACTGAGCGGAATCGTCTAGAATTTTAATGGTGTCTTCCCACTGGTGTCATAATTATTTGTGCAAAATTTGAACGCTATAAGTGCGACGGTTCTTGAGTTTTTGGTGCGAACACACAGACTCACTCACAGACAAGCGGACAACTTTTCTCCGACTCCGCTATACACGATACATAGATTCGTTCACTTCGTTCTCACTCATCTATTAATTCATAACATTTATTATTGCTAGAAGAGAAATTCGACCTCTGGTTTTTGTGTAATCTGGGTCACACAAACAATCCTAAGTTTTGAAAAGGATATCTACAATGAATTATGCAAATTAAGATTCCAATAGCTTTTTAGATACCCAATAATACCAAAGTGTGAGAAATGTGGTTGCTATAAATATACAAGATGTAAAAAAAAAAAAAATTGCGGTAATGATTTCAAGATCCTTCTATATTCTTTATCTAACTCACAATACAAATTATAGGCTGCAATATTTTTTCTTTAAACAATATACTGAAAAGTATAATTTTTAATTAAAAATTACCATTAAATAAATAAATAAATAAATAAATAAAAATGCCTTTATTTATTAAGCGTTTCTCAGTACAAATACTGCTTCTCAGAACAACTTTCGTCAAAAACAATATAAAACTAACAACAAATAAATAGAGCAATAACAAAACAGAAACAAGACAATATGAGTAACAATAATTAACCATCAGTGCACAATTCTTTGATCTTAACTCTAAATGATGATAAAGAATACTTTTTGAGGCCAGAGGGGAGGTCGTTGTACAGTTTTGGACCGAAGTACGAGAAGCTTCGTCTCCCAAACTCAAGCCTCACTCTTGGAAAGTGAAGCTGGAGACCACCATGGCGGGTACTGCGCTGAGAGACCTCCTCCCGGAAAGAGAGCCTCTCAAGAAGGTACTGTGGCTCCTGTAAGACAAGAGCCTTGTGCACCATGCAGCACGTCATGATCCTGCAAACAGTGTCTACTGTTGTCATCCCCGCTACAGCTCTATAGGGAGAGACATGTTCAAATTTTTTGAGGCAAAATATGAAGCGAATAGCTGAATTTTGCAGTTTCTGCATTCGGGTCATGTCTACTCCAGAGATGCTGTTTCCATAAGCAGGGAGACAATATGTAAACACCGACAGGACTAGTGACTGCATGAGGCGCAGCTTCGCAGATTCTGGCAGCAGACTTCTAAACCTGTACAGCCCTCTCAGCCTTCCTAACGCGCGCTGCGAAGCATGTGTGACATGGTCAGAGAGGGTGAGGCTGCTATCAAGCACAACGCCAAGAGTCTTTGACTTGTCACACAAAGTCAAAGATTCCCCGTTGAGCACAACACTCACTCCTCTCTCGCTGAGGGACTGCACCAAGTCTTGTGGCGCCGTATGCATCACAGTACACTTGCCAGTATTGAGTTTCAACCCATTTGCTTCTGACCACAAAAGGATTTTTCTCAGATCAGAGTTAATGAGATCGAGTGAAGCTCTAATCTGGGATGGCTCATAAGACAAGTGCAGCTGTGAGTCATCGGCATACAAATGAACTGTACAATGTTGCACACAGCTAGGAAGGTCTGCCGTGTACAAATTGAACAGAACAGGCCCAAGACAGCTGCCTTGGGGAATTCCTTGGGTTTTGACAAGCGGGGTTGATGTTTCACTCTCTAACTGCGTCACTTGCAGCCTGGAGTCTAAGTATGACCTTATCCATTTCAAAATATTTTCGTCAAAGCCATAATATTTCATTTTGGCCAATAGCATCTCATGGTTCATTGAATCAAATGCCTTTGAATAGTCCAGCATAACTAGAGAACTATATTTACCCTTGTCTTTGGCGTCAATCATATCACTAAATAAGTTCGTCAGGGCTGTACACGTGCTATGGTTAGGTCTAAATCCAGACTGAAGTTTGGGTAATATATTTTGTGTGTTTATGTAGCTGACTATTTGGCGAATAGCTATCTTCTCTAATATCTTTGACATAGCTGGTAATATTGAGATTGGCCTTAGGTCTTCGACTTTTCTTGGGGCTGTAAGTTTGGGTAATGGTCGGATAATACTAATTTTCCAGGACTTAGGAAATTGTCCCTTGTCTAGTGATAGATTTATCAGATGGGTAATTGATTTTATCGCATACGGACTGACAGTTTTAATCATTTCAATTGAAATTTCATCGCTACCCACTGCTTTAGATTTGATCTCAGTCATTACATTCATAACCTCTTTTTCACTGACATATTGAAAATTGAAGGTATTTATAATGCCATCTCGTTTATTATCCATAAAATATTCCCAAAGCTGTTTATCAATATCGGTCTCAGCTCCCATGTTTACAAAATATTCGTTAATCCCATTAGCTTGCAGATCATGTGGAATGCTTGAGTTACTCTTAGAGCCAATTATATCATTCCTTTTGAGGCACGTCCAAAATTCTTTTGGGTCTTTTGAGGACGATAGTTTATCAGAAAAATATGTCTTTTTCGCACTCCAGATCATATTATTTAACCTATTTCTAACGCCCTTATACCTTTCCCAATTCTCATCACATCTATCTTTCCAATAACGATTTCGCAGTCTATTTTTCTCTTTTGTCAACCGTTTAATATTTTCATTACGCCAAGGAGCCTTCCTCTTTGTAATTTTTTTGCACACTATTGGTGCATTGTCATCAAATATCTTTCTAATATTAGACGTAATCAATGTTTCCACAATATCTATTTCCTGTTCGTTCCTGTTAAAGTTAGCAGTTTTATTTATATGCCAACAAACACACCTTGTGACCCACCATTTCAAGAGTGACCCAAATTACAAGTAATGTAGGTCACCTGACTGACATTACAGGGTAATGCACGTAAGGCGACTGACATTACACAGTGACTCAAACGCAAAAATGGGGAACTTCTATGTATTAAACAAAATTGTGTTATCCTTTATTATAAAAGTGTCCCCTTTTCGTTATTATCGTCTGCTAATAACACTAGGCGAGGTTCATAATTTTTTCGCAAATCTAGGAGCCAAATTCTTGCCGCCCACATTGTTGTACAATCCCGCCCATCATCAGAATAGGTCAAGTAAAGAAAGTAAACAGGAATAATTTTCAATCATATTGTGGGTTATCAAAAAATAATTCTCTACATTGAAAACTCATAAGAGAAGTAATTTGGGTCACACAATTCACCAAAAGTAATGTAGGTCACACATCAGATCCTCAGATTTTGTGACCCAAATTACAGTGACCGACATTAGCATTTTCACTCTCGTCATTTACTAAAATGGAACATAGAGGCCATGGTCCCCTTTGCTGGCCACAAGTTTGGTTAAGTATGCGTCTGTCTTATATTTTCTTAGTTTTAAATAAGTTATTTGCCTTATTGTAACATTTATTACCAGTACCGACCATTACATAAAAACTCTTACAAAACAGATTTTAAATAAAGACTTTCCGAATAAACTGGAAAGCCTGGCATAACATCACGCCTAACCTACTTCACCCACAGTCAACAACGAACTGAGAGAGGGCGAAATATTGATCCGCCCGTAGTCGATAGGGTTGAAAGACCTGACGAGAACTGGTTCCGACCCTCGAACCCAGCATTACATTCACGGCCAGGGACGCGACTTTTAACGATCGTTATTGCCAGTATAATTTCATTAAAAAGCCTGTTTGGTAATTTTTGTCAATATTTTAACATTATAAATTAATTCAAACCAAATATTTAATTGCCTTAATATCACTGAAAATATAAGCTTATGTATCCAACTTCTAACCTAGGGGACAGGGTTTTTCACTAAATATACCCATTTTGGAACTTTTCAAACACACTTTTCTTTACTACATGGTATTAAAATCTAGAAACATAAACATATTTATTCGAAGGAAGGTATCTATATATTAATTTGAAACTGGTTTTCTTTGTGACAGATAATTTAAAAGAACGGCTGGGCGTAGAAACCCGGTAGAGGTGTCTCAAGAAAGGGCTTGGTCTGTAGATGAGCCATCAAAAGAGAAACGTGGTAAAATCCCTTGGGGCTCTGCCCCAGTGGCCTTTAAATTCCCATCTCATGTTATTCTTATGGGGTAAAAACGGGTTTTTGTCACAGCTAATTTCAGAGAACGGCTGGGTGTAGAAACTCGGTAGAGGTGTCTCAAGAAAGGTCTTGGTCTGTAGATGAGCCATCAAAAGAGAAACGAGGTAAATTCCCTTGGGGCTCTGCCCCAGAGGCCTTTAAAGTCTCCTCAGCAGATTTGTTTACATTATGACTATACACTACTTTTTAATGAAACAGCTGTTAATATTTAAATTGTGATTTACTGAATTTGTCAAAACAAAGTATTTACAAAGGTTTTTTCCTGATTTTAAAATTGATTTTCTTCTGCATCGTGTCATGTTTTGCAATATAATGTCGTAATGTTATAATGTGCAATCCGAATCAGTGGAAAATCCTAATATCACAGTAACTCTTAAAATTATTTCTTATTGAGTTAACTTATGTCTATTGTTATTGTTGGTCTTTTTTACCACTTCTTGGAGATTGTACGTAGGCGTGTTGCACGTAGATGATATTCTTTGGCATATTGCATCTGTAGACGATACTTGGTTTGGTGTAATTATTACAATGGAAAAAATCGAGAAATCCTGGACAATTTGATATAGGTCTAAAAAAACTGAATTAGAAGAAATAGAAATAATGCTTTTTTTCTTCATTTATAACTTTATTATAGAGAACCTAATGCGGCTATGAGTGGGAAACCTTTGTAGATAACTCTAAAAAACAAGATCAGCTTTTGTAAAAAGATAAGATATTTACAAACAATTTTGATTATATCTAACTGTTGTGTACATCGTAAGTATGTCCATAATCTTTGAGTCGACTTTTATAAAGTCATCGGAAATTATGACCGTTATTCGTTTTAAAATAACGCCTGTAATGCTTCGCAATTGCTCGAATTCGAGCAACAGGTACACTAGTAATAAATTATTTTAAAACTATTTGGAGCAGGAATAGATAGCAGAAGAGGTATAAATAGCTGGGGACAGCAATTGTCCTGTTTTCAAGTTTTTACCCTAGATAGACCTTCGTGAAGGGGGTATGGAAACTAGTTTTGCACAGAAAGTTTTCAGGATCAAAAAGTATATCTTCATACGATCAATAATTGTCACCAAACACTTTTATAAGGACTTTTTAAGGAAATTAGAGATATCAGTCAATGATTTTTGTGTTAGGCCTATACTATATCCAACATGAATTGGATCATAATCACTAGTTATTGTGAACAATTACTTTCAGTGAACTACAAGTGTCACTTATAGACATAATTATAACTTTTTTTTATCTTTCACTCGTGAATATAAATGTCTGATGAAAATAAATGTATTTTCAAAAATTGGGTTTTTGTTACAGGTGTCGCGTTCTTACATCAGGTGATATTCCTCCAAAAGTCTCCGGTTGCTGTGCCCTTTTACATGGAGACGATCTCTACACATTTGGAGGTAAAATTTTTATTGCAGATACATTTGGATGAAACAAAATCAGTAAAAAAATTATTTCTTTAAATTTGATTCATATATGTAGGGTAAATGTTTAGAAAGTCTTCTGTGGGATTATCTCTGAAATTACGATACAATAAAATGCCATGGAGTTTTGGAGTTTTTTGTATTTTCTTTACTTGAGGCATGTCAAATTTTTTTTTTGAAAGGAATGGTGGTACAAACTCTATAATGTTACCGTAGCCTGAGACAAAGAAAGTATAAATTGGGATCAGAATAGTTGATTTTTAATGCTGATTTCCCCATAACATAAAGTAAAAATTATGTTTTCTCGGAAATTGGTCTAAACTATTTTGATATAAATTTTGTACTGTACCTATATTATAATCCTTTCAATTCTGAAAAATATGGTATGACTCCTATTTCTGTATAAATTACAGTTCTAAAGTTATTGTAACTAATGTTTTTTTCCTCACAAAAAACTATGAAATAACGGAAAATCAGATTTTCAAAAAAGCCTTTTTGATTGAAATTAGTTTGTTATTGCCCTTATAATCTATATAAATAAAATTCCTTTAAATAAAATAGTACAAGCTCTAATTGCTGTAAAAATTACAGTTGGTTCAAAAGTTATTGCAGCTTTTGTGATGTTCCCTATAAAATATCATAGTTACTCCCATTGCTTACCCATGAAACAGGTTGTCGACAAGCTAATAAGAGAAAGTATTTGTCAGATTGCTGATACCGTTTATTTTTCATTCATCATAATCATATGACTTTAAGTTTTTCCAGCAACTACATGTCAATGAGTAAAATAGCTATTTACCTTACAAGTGTAGTTAGAGCGTTTTTACATCACGGAGGTGAATGTTGTGCAACGAGCGGAAGCGAGTTGCATAATTCACTTAAGTGATGTAAACACGCTCTTGCGTAACGTGTAACGTGCAAGATTTTGCCTGACCCGACAATATACAGGGGGTTACGTACAATATTTTTCATTATCCATTTCACTCATTTTCTAACAGTAACGTTCTTTTACAAACAAAAGCTAGGTTAGGAAAATTCTTTAAAGCATAACAATAAAATTCAAGCACAAAGCTGATTTATAGAGTTGATTGTTGTTGCCTCCATAGAGGTATACTTTTTTAAGTTGAGCACTCAATGTTATTTAAATGGGTTTCATTACCTCACTCATGAAGTACCTAAAGAAGTTGTTTACATCATGCTTGGGATAGGGAAGTTTAACATGGCGGGTTGGGTAAATATATTTAAACCATCAAAACCAGTTGCATAGAGTAATCCATCCAAGGGTGGTATGTAAAAATCGAATTACAAAACATTTCTGTAGTCCTACATTTCAATACTGAAAATCCTAACACTTAGCTATGAAGCATTCTGTTTACAGAGTTTTCAAGTATGTGACGTGCTTTGCTATCTATCACACACTCTGGTATGTGCCACTTCTGTAGCTGTAAAAAAAACATACTTCATCTGATATACAGATTAGCTTGAGTAAAACTACTTCCATTTATTTATTTTGCCTTAGTGTAACTTTTGTTATGATAGAAGTCAATGAAAATATTTGAATCTTCAATATATAAAACCATTTAATAGTCAAATATAAAACATAGGTACATTTTGCCATTGATTAAGGATTATTTCAAATAAAAATCCAGTAGATTTAAAGTAGATTTTACATTTTTAAGATGTTTAAGTTTATATCATCTGACTTTTTAAATCATACAATGTATAAAGAAAATGCATCATACCAAATTCATTATATTGTAGTATTTCAACTTGAAATGAAGAATACAAAGTGACTTAAATAGGTCGAGGTTGATTAAACTAAAAGGACAATCTCGTAGTAATAGCTCAATGTAGTTGTGCCAAATGGTGGACTACAGCCAAGAAAAGCGTTGACAACGCAACTTGTTTGTTTGTTGGACACACTCCATTTTAAACTACTTCAACTACTTTAAAACTATATTTTCCTTATCCCAATTTTTATATCACTGGATTGTTTTTACGAATGACATAAAATTTTCAAATATAATTTGAAGGAAGAAATGATTAAAAAGCTTTCTAGACAAGCCATCATTGTAAGTCATGACCAGTTGGCTTTAAAGCAGATTTTTTGGACAGTTCAGAACTATTGACAATTAATTGACATCTTAGTGTGTGGTACAATTTTAATGGTTTTATATCCAACTTTTGGCCGTTAGTTTACCAGCCGTAAGTTTTGATATTTGTATCATCTGTATGGAAAAACATAGAATAGTTCACCCCCTCCCCCTTCAAATAAATGGCTATATTTTAGTCAAAATTTGAAATTTTGTTTATTTCATAGTCGCAAGTGCAATTACGGTAGGATAACCGTAAAGGATTCTTTGTGTATAAAATTGTTCTTGAGTTTTGATAACCGGGAAATAGACCTTGAATCAGTGTTGTATATTGCTGGGAAACTTACATTTTTTAAATGAGCGTTTTCAGTCGAGACTCTGCACACGACCGACGCGCGTCTACTTGTCCATAGTAAAAATAAAAGTAGGCCTACCGTGTATTTATGTTTTATTCGTCATGTATATAAGTGAACAGTTCGTGTATGTGTTTCAAAAACTCCAAGACGCACCTAATGATTTAATTTCGCCGAAATTCATCTCCTGTAATAGGATACATTAGGATCGACCGGCGGACACAGGTAATTTAGCCTTTTATTGATTGTCATACCGATCCGGAACAACAACAAACGACATAAAATGAAGTTATGTAGGAATAAATAGTTTGGCCAGCATATCTGAAAATATGCAAACCAACTGCTGTTCTTTATATAAGAAGGTTTCAACTGATTACTATAAGATCCCCGTGCGTAGAACGGGTACACAGCTAGTTGAAATAAAAAATTTGACAAATATTATTTACTGATATTTCTTGAGAAAATCTGAGATCAAAACTGTACTTGACCTAGAATGTGAAATGCTTAAACCATTAAGGAAGTGAGACCTACTTTGTTATCAACACGTAAACATCTAAACACTACTTGTGTAACAAACATGTTTGTATATTTACGTAAACATGTGTTTTTCAAAGTACGTAGACTCAGTTGAGAAAGGATTTATAGTTTATAGCCTGCTGCTATCTTGTAAATGACAGTTTATCTCTGTAAGAGTGTGCAATATGTAGTAAAATGATACCCGATTAAGAAATGACTCAATCGAGAGGAACACACCCACATTTGTGGAAACTGATTTCATTTTTTATTGAATCTTACTTATCTAATAGGCCTACATTTTGAGAGCGGCAATGACTGTTTTTGCTCATTATACACAGAAGATTTTTCTACCACCAAAATTAACTTACTATAACATACAGGTTAACTTTTTGTTTGTATATAAAATGTCATTTAGGTTATGTTTGCTTTTTTAATGCTAAGTTATTTACTTACCCGATGCTAGTGTTTTATAGAAATGCCAACAGCGAAATCAGCTGATTTAGCGAGCGGGAATAAAATTGGAAATTATCTATTTTGCACACTGTTTACAGGTGTGGAAATGTGATCATTTCCATGCAGTGGTAGGAAAGTTGTCATTAGCTGTATGGGCTATTAATTAACAGCTGTGTCTAAGGAATATGTCGGCCTTAGTCACTAACAAGACTACAAGATCGCTCCACTCATCCTACACTCATCTCCATTCATACTTGGCTTAAAATACCTACTTTGTCTGGTCGCCATTTCATTGAAAAGTAGAAAGTAGAATTTCCTGTTCTGTACAAACATTAGGAGATTTAACAAAGGATTACTGAAATAAGGGACGAACAAGTTGATTATTGAGTGCCGATTGCATTATTATTTATTGTTTGCAGGTTATCAACACAAGTCAGAAACTGGCACGACCAACCACCTTTACAGACTTAATCTCAAGACGATGGTGTGGACGAGACTCATGCCTAAGGGTGATTTGCCCGTCTGTTGTGATAAGATGGCTGGATGGGTCTACCAGGATAAGTGAGTATATGAATCAACAATGTGAACCAATCACACGTTCACCTTCACAAACAATGGGCGCGTTCTGGGAACATGTACCGGTGCACCGGTGCAGACTAACCGGTGACTTATTCACCGGTACCGCCCCGGGGCAAGAGTCTTATCCCAGAACGGTTATTCACCGGTTTAATGTACACATTGGATTATAATTTACACATTCACCTACTATTTACTTTATAATATTTAAACCAAACAAACTTATTGTTCTCACAGAATAAATTATTTGAAAATTATTCACTTAATACGTAATATAACACCCTCATAGAATAAATTATTCACTCATTACGCAACATAACCTATAAAACTGATGAACTATTAAATTATTCGATGGACCCGCCATCTTTCCGTAGCTACATTCTGTTGTCGTTGTCCATGAAACTGACCAATCAGAGGCCGCCGGTGTATTATGCAACGTACAATTTCTCCGGTGCATAAATCTTGCACCGGTGGAGGAAAAAGTGGAAATAGCTGTCTGCTAGGTTAACTCACCGGTCTCCCAGAACGACACATTTTTTGCACCTGTGCACCGGTACATGTTCCCAGAACGCGCTCAATGTCTGGAGGTGGTGTTGACCTTGACTGTTGATAAATGTACCCATTCCGATGTTATCTATATTATCTATACTTATTTAATACGCAAGCAGGATTTTTGTGACAATTACTCCTCCGAAACTACTAAAACGATTGACATGATTTTGGTCTCATTGGAAAGAGCGTAACGTGAAGTTGTGCAGGAAACTTTCTTTTTAGGGAAATAATTAGAGAATGAGGCCCTGGGGCCCTTTAAAGTTTCGTATTTCTCCATAAGGATAACATGGGGAGATAATTTTTTTTTCAAGAAACATATGTTTATTGCTTGAAAATAGTCAAAGTCTACTACATAATTATTGCTGTGTATTATGACTGTTAATGTATACTACATTTCAATCAAGGATTGTGTACCTTAAAGTTTACTCATAATGGATCTTACAACTTTATTTTAATGCTGGGAATAGTAAAATTTAGTTGAGAATAAGTTACCATGATTAAGAAAACTTTACGGTACTATAATAATTTATGGATTTTAAATCACAAATCTTTGACATTATTAATTCATTTGAAACTAAACAGCTGATCGACAAATCAAACAAATCATCTACTTCATGTGGATAATGTTGTTACACAAACATAGTTTTTTTTTTACCAATACTGTAACTTGATTCTTTTTTACTTGCGGGTGTATTTTGAGTTTGCAGTTATGAAAGCACCAAGCCAAGTAACTTTTATCTAATGTTATTTATAAACTAACAGTATTAATGAATTACTGCATGAACTTGACAAGTTAGGTGATTAATTGTCTGTATGCCAAGGGCAAGGGAAGAAGAGTGGGTCCTCGAAAACAGGAAGGCGGAGACACCCATCTAGAAAATCCAACTGAGTTTTTAAATATAGATGTCAGTGGATTGCCAAGACACAGATTAGACTAATAAAAGGGGGTAGTGGTTTTATTGATGAGGACTATATAAAAAAGGGTATCATTAATGGCACAAGGCTTCATGTGATCAGAACGGTTAACAACTTTATAGAATGTAAAGTGTCCTAACTGGAACAAGTGAGTGGGGATATATTTTGATTTCGAAGATAAACATTTTGGTTTTTAGTGTTTGTTTTTAAAAGTGTTTTCTTCAAGCAGCATTTTATTACCCTCAAAATATGCTACATAGACCTATTAGTTTGATATGATTTAATGTTTTGTTAAATGTGTTTTAAAAAATCTTTAAAAATTACCCTGTAACATACGTGAACTTGAACCCTGTAAATTAATTTACAATACACGTTATACACATTATTATTATTTATAATACACATATAGCTAGAAAATAGCTGGACTGCTTCCCTTCTAAGACTTTATTATTAGCCTACCGTATTTAATTTTCGACGTCGAGTCAATATATAACACGATGAATTTGTTTTTTTAATTCATATGTTATTTTGCGGGGCATTGATCCGCACAGGTTCACTAGTACTATGTACCTAGTTGCATTAAGTTTTAGAAAAGAAAGCCACCTTAAACCAATGTACTGATGTAAATTGTTGATTTCTGTTGAATGCTCCAACTTTTTCACCAAGTCAAACTGATAAACCACTGATTACAAGATATAGGTGAAACCCGTCGAAATCGACGGTTACTTTCAAGGCTTACGTTAATTCATCTAACTGCGATAAATTGGGTGAAATATACATATTTTGAGCATTTAGCATTGTTTAAAGAGTAATAAGTGTAAAATTAATAATGATATTAATTGTGTTAGTTGCCAAATTTGGTTGTTCATTCAATGATTAAAATATTTCCTATACCTACTGTACGTCATCAGAGTTATTATTAGTATTTTATATGGTATCTCTTCCTTTGGAAGAACCTTTAAATAGTATTAAAATCGTATTGGTGGATCTTTTGTAGTTAAACACTTCCGTGATTTCATCAGTGTAATATGATTTTATTTGAAAAGAAAATATTTTTTGGGAAGACATATTCTAACATCAAAGGGAGGTATATCTGTTACGGTGTAAGTTTCATTTTTCCTTCGTCACGTCGCGTCAGTTCATATCGTACTTCTGTGCCAATGAATGAACCCTCTAGCATAGTTTTGAGAAATTTATTGTGGGCTTACTGTTAAAGCTGGAATTCCTTGACATGGGGGATGTCAGTTAGTTGTATCAGAGTTATCAATAACATAAAGTAATCAATATAATCTTTCTACGGAATGTTAGGTGTAGTGGAATACTTGAATTGAATTTGGCTTTTATCTTGAACTGTTAGGGGCCTCCTCGTTTATAAGGTCGTGAGGCTTCATTGGCAACAAATAATGCAAATGACATAGCAATGGGACATTTCCAAAGAGTAAAAAACTGTAAATTGGCTGTTACGTATATATTGATGTTTACATATTGTTAATCAACGTATCTTATAAAGGATTATGTGATCTAGTTTAAAAGGAATATGACCTTTCTGTCATGACAGTAGCTGCTTAAGTATTATTTTCTCTTTGTACCATATTTTACAGCCAAAATGTGTTATTTTCAATAATGTTATGAACCCAGTGCGCCAAGTCCGTAATATAGGCAGGTGCAAATAATTTGTCAAGATGGGTACCATTTTAGGCAAGGTTTCTATGTTTGGATTTTATTAGACACGATAAGAGCACATATTTCTACATAAATATTTGATATGTGTAGAATAATATGATAAAATGTAGGCAAAAGTGGTGAAAAAGGCAGACACCAACCCGTACAAAAGATATAAGATAGTTCAAAAAGAAATAATTCAAGAATTGCTTTGATGAAAGGATTTTCCACTGATTTCGTAATGGAACGTTATAGGCCTATTGCAAAACATGCCATGATAAAGAAGAAAATCAATTTTAAAATCAGAAAATAACATTGCAAATACTTATTTGGTAGAATTCAATGACCCCCAATAAATATGTGTTGTTTGAAATACAATTTAAAAATGAACAGCTGTTTCATTAAAAAGTATTATTCACATGGCCAAAATGTAAACAACTCTGTGGAGGGATCTTAAAAGGCTTCTGGGGTAGAGTCCTAAAGGATTTTTCTTAGTTTTTCTTTTGATAACTCATCTACAGACCAAGACCTTTCTTTGGACACCTCTATCAAGTTTTTATGCCCAGCCGTTCTCTGAAATTAGTAGGGACAAAGTTTCCAATTAAATATTTAGATTCCCCCATGTTAATCTTATGGGAGAAAATCCAACTTTGATGGCCTGTGGGGCAAAGCCCGAGGATTTTTATTACAGGAATTGAAAAAAAAGGGGGCGTCTTCACAAAAAATACTTTATTTGGACACGTCGTTTGTAAAAATCCGTCCATTATTAACAACGGAGGAGTAGTGTTTCGTAGAAATCGCCTTCACGTATTATATATAAGGATGCCAGGATTGTGTAAGTGAAGGTATGCCAAATTGTACTCTTTTATTGCATCTGGTACATGTCATTGTGTAAGTATAGGAACACAACAATAACATTTCAATTTAACCCATTTACACTGGAGTTTGTGTTTCTGATAGAATAATTATGTGGCTTTGCGTTATAAATAGCATTACTTCGCTAAATACTTGGCAAATGTTTCTTTGAAGGCCCGAAGAAATATTTAAACAGGTTCTTCAGTGTAACCAAATACCCCGTAAAACTCTTCCTTGCATAATCTAAATTTCCTCTAAACTTTTCCTCATCCCCTTCTAAATCATGCGTAAGGTTCGCCATTCAATTTTCTTTTTTTACTAACGGGATGCACCCAAGGTTTCCAATTAGGTATTGAGTACAACAGCACAAAATCTAAATCATCATCACTGGAATATCGTCCTCCCCTTTATAAAAATCATGGCTGCACCGCACTATGTTGTTACACGCCATTTTCACAGGACAAAAGTAGTAAAATCACGACGTGTAGGAGGGAAGGGGTAGTCCGCCTGCTTGTGGACTCCTACAGCCGTGTGCGTTACAAAAAATCCGTCTTGCAGGAGTCTGTTGTCATGAGTCCATCTGTCACTTTGTGCGCCGCCCTTAAGTCTGATTATTTCAGAAAAAAATAAGAGCCTTGAAGTTATTGCACTTTTAAGTCACCTTGAAGTTAAGTGGTGGTATGATCTATTTTTTTTTAGAGTTGCACTTAAGATAGCAAACTGTCACAAGTGAATGAGCCACAATAACAGTTAAATGATAAGCACCGCCTTTCAAATGCTTCTTGAATGATATCATTTTAATTGGTGCTAGAATAATTGATATCATATTTTCTTTGTTTCAAAGTAGCTTCAAAAAGTTTAAAATTTTCCATAACAGTTTAATTAGTTTATATATTTTATTGAATACTGGCATAATCATATTGTGAAATACTATCTGAGTCTTGTATACACATTTTTTTCAGCTAAAGTACATGCAATAAACAAGGATGTGGAGTGGATAGATGTTGTGCAAAATATGACTCAGTATAATTTGTCTATTTTGAGTTTTCTTACTAGTTTAGTTTTCTCTAACAATGAGCGGTTGCACTTATAGTCATTTTCTCATCATGTTTGATAAATATGTTGGTAATTTAAGGTCTAATGTTGATTAGTTTGTCTACAATATTTTGCCTCGGCTTATCTTTTTATGTAAAACCCATGTCACAATCATTACAAGTAGGCCTACATTAATTAAGGTTTTCAAGAAGAACTTTGTTGGCTTAAACCAATAACCTCTCTGCCTACCCTCCAAGTCATCACGAGTAATCGTGTCATTAGAAGTTTTACCTTGGTGGATAAAGTTCTGACCCAACAACCCTGAAGCATTCTATCTAGACCATTTCGTACTTAAGATGTATTTGCAAGCCATTATGTTAACATAATCAAGAGCTAAAGCAAATCAACTTGGTATTTTTTCCAGACTTTACTTCTTTGGTGGGTTCGGCCCTGTGCAGAGGTGTCGTTGTGAGTTTCAGATTGTTTTGGAGCCGACGTCAGAACTCTCACCCTGGCCGACGGGGTGGAACAACCAACTGGCTGTTTATAACGTATTAACGTAAGCTGTAAACCTATATTATTTTATTTTTAGATGGTTTTCTATAATAGGTCTTTGTAAAGGGTTTAATATTTTAATACCAAATGTTGATTTGTAATGCCTACTAAGACCATTCTATACAGGTGTTTCGAATGCTAAAAGAGCGTTGTCCACTGTCATGATTGCTATTTCAAAGTGTCCGTTTCTTATTGAAATAAAATGAAATGAATAAGTGCTTTATTCAACAATAAAGTAATATCTACAATCTACATCCAAAAACATAACACTTTGAAACAATGGTTGATTACAACCGTCTGTTTGGTTGGCACAGTTTTTTGCCTTCTAAAATGAATATGAGTCTAACAACATTTAGCAGAAAAAGAAATGAAGATTTTTCTATACAATAAATATAATAATAATAAATCACAATTAGCGTACTCAATTTACAACAAAACATAATTACAGAATTAAGGATATCAGATAAAAGTAAACGTGTTTCAAGGTTTTTTTTTCATTTACCCAAAATTTGGAAGTTAAACTCAAGTATAAGTTCCCGTCTATATTTCCAAGCTTCCGTAAGGTAGTTTGTAAAGACACGCCAATCCTTCCCGTTCAGATATTGATAATATTCAGCTTCACTCAAAATGTTGCTTCCTAACCAAGACCCCAAGACCTTCTAACTTTACCCAAAATTGGACAGACAGCAATGAAGTGAAAGATAGTTTTATACTCTTCAAGATTACATAATGAGCAAATAAAATTTTGTTAGGTCCAGGGTTTATAATTTAAATTTACCAACTCTGCCCTAGCTTTAATCACCCAAGAAATTAGTTCCACTTCGCTGAAGGCAAGTAGGCTCTTAGTTCAAGGTCAACTCGCAATAGTGGTTTGTGATAAACAGATGTCCTAGCTCGGCTTACACATTCATCCTTCCACTTATTTTAATTGCTTCTGCCAGCGATCCAAACTGTTTCGCCAATGCGCTGACATCCTGAGTTTAAAAATTTATTGCTCCCAGTGTCTGCACCAAAATATATGTTTTTCAATAATCTGATTTGCTAATATTCTAGGCAATCTATTATTAGGCAAAGATAACACTCTAACTATATAATTTATATTTGTTCTTAAAGTATGGAAACAATCTATCAGCACCTGTCTCTATATATAATTAGGAGTATTAGAAGGCAATCTGAACAATATTTTTATAAACAGTTTTTGGACGGACTCGACAATTTCACTATCTATAAAATCGCACACTTGCGCCCCGTAACAAATTATAGCCTTAACTATCGACTCAAAGCAAACAGTTATGGAAGATATTGGCACATTTTTATTAGTCATCAGTTTTCTTATGGCAAAATAATAATTTTATCAATTTTGTATTGTTTACAGAAATAGTTGGGAGTGGCCTAGATGTAGAGGAACTATTCCAGCTCCTAGAGCCGCACACGCAGCCGCCATATCAAAGAATAAGGTTGGTCCACCTTAAGCTTTAAAATAAATGTGATATTATTTTTACGGTACCACTGTCAGGGAGCAATTTTCTGATCATAGCAGTGGCATGAAACAAACTTTATTAGACTTGACTATACATGTATGTGTGTATATTTTGTCTGATTAGTATCTTTTTCTTTAATTGATAGTAAATGAGTTAAATAAATGGATGTCCTTTTCCTGGTTTTGGCATTATGGGCTCTTCACCTCCTCCCATCCCTTCACAGTTGACTCTTCCTACACCTTTATGTAACTATTGTCTTGTCTGTCTCCTGTCCTCTATCACTATCAACTCAATTATCTTAGGAATTATCCCTTCTCACCTGTCCGAAGCATCTTAGGCCCCTTTCATACTATGTGGCGCACGCCACAAATTAGTGCGATGGCAGTGACAGTGTTGGGAGTGTCAGGCTTACCAACATTAGGATTTCTAACACCTTTAAAAGTTATTTGTAGTGATTATGTTTATTTCAAAGTGTATAAAATATTTTATGTCAATATTTTAGTCATTATTATGGTTTAAAAACTCAATAAACTTAATGGTGCAGGTTTGTTTTGGGGACGGTTTCGTTTTGATTATGTTGATAGGACTTGACAACGACAGTCTTTCTTTTTCCATCCTTCCTCTTTAGCTATTCTCAACTACAGTCTCAGTCCTCGGATCTCCTAATTCCTAACCCTAACCTAGAATCTATGTAAAGATAGTATATTTATGATTCATCAATGTGTTTTATGTTACAGGTCTATGTTTTTGGAGGCCGCCTTAGACTGATTAGAAACAATGAACTTCACTGCCTGGACTTGGACACCCTTACATGGAGTGGCAAGTAAGGAATAACAATACATCTTAACTTCCAATGGAATATTTTTTATTTGGTATAAAATATAATTTATATGGTATAACCATATAATTTATTTGATATATGTTTTCCTAAAGCAATTTATAATAGTAAGGACGATTCTCATGTCAAGTGGATTACCCCAGAGGTCACTGATTCGCAAGAAAAACTCATAGATCTGTACTGGCGAACAAGAAATGTAAATAGGCCTAATGTAAATAGTAAATTAGAATACAATAATGCTAAGCGTCTACATTCCGATCTTCTTAGCAGAGCAAAGAAACAATTCTACAAGTCAAAGATTGACAATGCTAAGAATATTAGTAAAGAATCATGGGCAATTATTCGAAACTTGACATGTGATGACAATGTAAATAGTTGTAATATAGGTCTTAAGTTTGATGACGAGCTTGTTACTCACCCGAGTACTTTTTTTTTTTTTTTGTCCTAAGGACGCTAGGCACGAGCCTGGGATTGTTTTTCACATTACTTCAGGCTAGACCTAGGGGTTGCGGCATTATCACTTAGATAAAATCCATTGGTGACTTGGCGGGGATCGAACCCAGGACCTCAGGGACTGAAGTCCCGCGCTCTAACCACTACGCCAGGTCACCCGAGTACTATAGCAAATATTTTTAACAATTACTTCATTTCTGAGATTGACAAGCTGACGGGTCCAGCGATAAAATAGATATAGACCCAAACCAAGTCCCTGATGAAGGTGATTTCCATTTATGGCCTACAAACGAGAAAGAAGTACTGAGCGTGATAGATAAAGTTAACAGAAAGAGTAGCGCTGGTGTGGATGAAATTCCTTGTAGCCTTCTTAAATCATGTAAAGATATCATAGTTAAGCCACTAACAAAAATAATAAATAAGTCGTTTTCACAGGGCATTTTCCCCAACAAAATAAAAACATCAAAGGTTGTACCTATATATAAGAACAATGAAAAAGACATAGTTAAGAACTACAGGCCAGTAGCAGTACAAAGTGTTTTTTCAAAGATCTTTGAAATCATATTCTTAAAGAGATTGTTCCCTTATTTGGAAGATAATCAGGTATTGAATCCTGATCAATATGGTTTTAGAAAAAACAAATGTACAACTGATGCAATATTTAATCTACTAATAAATATCTATGATAATCTTGATATTGTTGGCGAGCAGCTCTGTATTTTCTATGATATGACCAAAGCATTTGACCTCATTTCCCATGATATTCTTATAAAAAAGTTAATGGCTATCGGCATTAAAGGTAAAGCCTTAAATTGGGTAGCATCTTATTTGAAAGACAGGAAACAAATTGTTAGTGTCAGGTATTCTGGTCAAGATGGTTTAAGTCGCCATTATCGATCGGCCACCTCATCTCCTGTAAACACCGGTGTACCGCAAGGTTCCAACCTAGGCCCTGTACTGTTCTTGCTGTTCGTGAACGACCTACCTGAATCTGTCTCAATAGGAAAGATTTGGCTATTTGCAGACGATGTTAGCCACCTGGTGCAGGACAGAGACGAACAGATGCTTAGGCACAAAGCTCAAGATGGGTTAAACCAAATGAACAATTGGTGTAAGGACAATAAGCTGATTTTAAATAAAGGAAAAACCAAAGCTCTCCAATTCCATAACAGGAAAATCCCAGATAACTCACCATTACTCAAACTTGAAGGCACCAGTATCAAAATTGATAATCACATAAAGTATTTAGGCCTAACCATCAGTGACAATCTTAAATGGCAGGATCATATCCAACAAATTTCGCCCAGATTAACAGCTGTGTGCCATATGGTCCGAAGGCTTAAGTCAATTGTTGATAATGATGTTTTAATGAAAATTTACTTTGGTTGCTTTCAAAGTATTGTCAACTACGGAATCTTATTCTGGGGAAACAGTCCTCTCGCAAGCAGAATACTACTTCTTCAAAAAAGAATAATAAGAATAATTTATAATGCTCCATACCTTGCCCATTGTAAAACCCTTTTTGTTGAAGCAAAAGTCCTTACGGTGCCAGCAATATTTATTTTGGAATCTGCCCTAATAGTTAAGAAGAACCCGAACACGTTTCCACTAAACAATACAATTCACAACTACTCAACAAGGCAAAAAAACAACATTCATCTAAATCAAGTCAACTCAAGTTTAGTAAAGGACGGACCAAAGTTTTTATCAAGCTTAATCTACAACTTGATCCTCCTAAATATAAAAAGCATTGAAGATCAAGATGAATTCAAGAGGAAATTTAAAGAATATCTATTGAAGAGGCCATATTATTCTGTTGAAGAATATCTAAAAGAAAAATAGGCCAAAAAAACTGACGACCACGGCGCAGCTGCGCTACCAGTGGGAGATCACCAAGTATCAAGTAAGTAAGTAAGTAAGTAAGTAAGTAAGTATCAAGTAATATTTCATACAATTTTACTGCATTAACACTATTGAGATTATTTTAAAGGGAATATTAAGAGGCTGGTTAGGAATTATTTAGAAAAGACAGTTTGATGAGTAATTAAGTTTAGCTAGCTCACTTGAGAAAAAAAGTTTCCAGAGGCTAATAGACATGCAAATAAAAGATTAAAAACATATCAAAGACATATTGTCCTAATACAGGACTTCTTTATAGAATAGGTCAAAGAGATAATGATTTGCAAATTCATTAAATAATTTACTGAGGTTATTATTTTATTTTTGTTTCTGCAATATTGGCATATTTTACGTTGTTTGTGAGGAAACGTTTCAACTCTGGTCAGGAATCGTTACGGTTGGATCCCTCAAAACCACAACCAATCAACAACAGTTTTACAACAGTTTTACACAGTCTTTGTGTTTTATGTCTGCATATTTCTTACACTCCTTTCCCTGCCTTTGTATCCTATCATGGTTATAAATTATAGTATACTTTGTTTCTTGCTAATGGCTTGTTCTATTTTGATGAGAACAGCGATGTGTAGCTATTTGTCCGTGTTTACAGCCTGACAGGCGCCTCCAAGAGTGAGTGTGGCGTTCCGGAAGGTCGTACTTGGCACACACTAACGTTCATCTCTGACGAGCGAGCTGTCCTTTATGGTGGACTGAGTCAGTACAACGCCGTATTGAGTGAGTTGCAGTCATCAAAATTACCACTGTATTACAGTTAGGTGTTGAATTTAGTATGATTGTGCCTGGTCAAAGTCGATAGTTAACGTAAATCTATTAAGTATACTATCGGGGGAGCGAGCTGGTCTAGTGGTTAGAGCGCGGGACTCCGGTTCCTAGGGTCCCGGGTTCAAATCCCGCCAAATCACCAATGGATTTTATCTAAGTGATAATGCCGTAACCCCTAGGTCTAGCCTGAAGTAAAGTGAAAAACAATTCCGGGCTCGTGCCTAGCGTCCTAGGACAAAAAAAAAATCAAGTATACTATCATCTTAAAAATTACCACTATTAGCCTATACGGTAAGTGTTATGTTAGTATGATTAGTGTTGAAAGACATATTTTATTCTATCCATATGATAGTACAAACACATATAATGCTAATCAGAAGTTTTTTTTTGGTTCAAAACAATTAAGTTCTGCTCATGCCTCGCCACGGTGAGAGAATGCAGAGAAGATATGGTGATTATTTACTGCCTCTTCCAAAGCAAACTGCAGAATGATTGAGCGCTTGTTTTTCATGCTAATTAATTTTATCAATGTAGGGCCTACATGACATGAGGAAAATACTCTACAGATGTGTTTTTTTCCCAGTTGGGACATATAAGGGTCCGTCCAAACTCTATAGTTCTTGTCACTTAAATAATACTCAACATTTGTCTGCAACATAGATTTGCTGTGATATATAATACTGAAATAATAAGTAACAAATTGAAACAGAATTCAAAGGTTTGAACACTATCATACATTATACGAAAAACGTACTTACACTTCCCTTGATGCAATATAAATCTATGGTAGAATCAATCTATGGAATCTATGGTATGGTTAACTCATGGAAAAGTAAACAAACAAACTAAAAAAACAAATCTAACAGCTGATGTATCTTAATGGTTTTAATGTAATTAAATACAGCCCTTTAACTAAAGTTCCTGTCTTAGGAAAGGGTTTATAAAAAAAACTGAGATTTTTCGGGGAATTTTCACATTAAGATCTTTTGTTGAAGTATGCAGTTGATAGGTGTACGGCTTACAGTTATTTCAAAAGTTCAAATCCATCCTAGCTTTATATATAGATTTGTGATTTTATCACAATTTTTTGTTATATTCTTGTCAGTGTCACTTCTCCTAATCATTTCTCCAACTGTGAAGTTTTGTTGTTGTTGTTAAAATGGAAATTATGGCAACAATTTTCATTATTTTAAATATAAATAGTGTACAATCATCATTACCTTTTTAACACTCATTAAGCATCATACATCAGCTGTTAGGCAGCCATTAACACTTGAAACTGACAGGTGATTGCTGGACCTTGGAAGTGAGCAGTACGTCAGCACGATGGCACAAACGGAACGACTGCCGCCCACTACTCTGGCATCGAGCAATATTCTCCCGCGACACCAACGAACTGCTGATACAGGGCGGACTCAAACGGTCCATTGTTGCCACGGTTACATGGAGAGTGAGTCTATTGTTGGAGAGAAAACTTGTCTCGGAAAACCAAAGTTTCAGTTTACGTCAACAAAAGAAGGGTTGTTTTATTTCTTGTCTTTTGTTGTTTTTACCTTCCTTGGTGAATTCCTTAGATTTTTTCATTTGTTTATCACTGTTAGTGTTAGGAGACTGATTGTTGTAGAGGTCAAAGAACCTTAACATATTCAATCAATTTTTCTTGCAAATGGTCCTAATTATACATCATAATCAATTTGCTCCTTTCACTATATATCAATTATTATTTATATTTTGATTTTTCCCTTTGGAAGAAAAGTTTTTTTTTTAATTTTGAGAGGTTCCCAAGGATTTTGAGTCACCTGAAAATCTGCTGCCTACAATTATAAACTGTTTACCTAGTCTTCTTTGTTAATCACATTTTTATACCTAAACAATTAATTGTTGGCTTGTACAGTGGGTATTAAGTATCTATTTGTTTAGTCCCATATGTTATCATGCTAAGGTGCATTTTCTGTGTCAGTTCTCAAGTAGCATTAATCCCTTTACCAATTTTCCAAACCATAATTTTCATGTTAAAAACATTCAAACACTTTCAACACATTACTCACTAGAATTGGTTTTAAGACTTGAAGCTGAATGATATGTCAGTAAAAGTGTATGTCTGTCAAATTTAAACTAATTGTTTTAAACCTTATTTGTTTTTGCCCAGCCTGACATATTTTCCTTGTCCAGATGATTGTTGGCAAATGATCGTTGAGGACGACCGAGTTCGTTGGGTTGAGCACGAGCTACGGTACGACCACGGGGAACCTCGGTGTGACCACGTCGCATGTTACTTTGAGCCAAATCTCATTCTCCACTCGGGTCTTACGCAGCCGTTTTACAACACTCGTCTTTTCCTCGCTGTAAACTGAGCCTTTGGTTTTCTGATTAACACTGTGTGATGTCTGTGCCCAGTGGTTTACTAGCTGTCTTGCCTTTAATGCTTTGACTAACATGTTTCACTGTTAACTAATTGTAAATAAGCAGCCATGCAAACATAAATGGCTTTTAGGCCTCGCCTATAGCTTAGAAACAAAGCATTATTTGCCCAAAAACATTAAGCCCTGAGAAATTTTTCCACAGAATTTATTCATAGTACATACGCTCATAAAAAATTACAGAGTTTTCAAACTTTATTTTTGGTAGAGTTGACTTTTTAATGTGTTTGAATTCTGTGCAATGTTTTATAGTTGAAGGTATATAAATGTTCGAATTTGCTATGGTGTGAAAATAATATCACTATTCACTACTACATTTAAACTTTACCAAGAGTTTGTCAACATTTGTTGTTAGGTGTAGTGATTAAACTCTTTGTTTTTTCCAGTTTGTTTTGTGGCTTCAATATTTTACATCATAGGTGTTGACTTGAGTGCAAAACGTTTGACCTGCAGACGAAGGTTCAGATCCAAATAATCACTCATTGTTTTTTGTAATTGATAGAACTTTTATAACAGTAGAACCCCTCGTATTTGACCATGGCGGGATTAGATATTGGGAGGAGCAAAAAACTATTTTTTTTCTATGATTTACTCACATAGACAATGTTTGCAATTTAACGTGAATGCTGAAAACGTTCTCGATTTCACGGTACACGCAGATCATGTTCCCGATTTGGCCTAAACTGCAGATTATATTTTCATTATGCTTAGTGGCCCAGGATCACTTATAGAATAAAAATGGTTTATATTACCTGTCCGTCAGTGATCCTATTGTTGTCGTCTTATGCGACCGGTTTCAGGATTAAAATCCCATCATCAGGCTGATAAAAATGTCATGTCACTCAAGTTGAGGTCGTCGGTAAACATAAAAACACACACATACAACACGAAACACGAAAATACGGAATAACATTGCTAGCTACTGGCCAGTACAGGACACTACGACGCGGCACGGGTAGTTGCGTGGTCATGACTCTATGACTCATGACCACGCAACTACCCGTGCCACGTCGTAGTGTCCTGTACTGGCCAGTAGCTAGCAATGTTATTCCGTATTTTCGTGTTTCGTGTTGTATGTGTGTGTTTTTATGTTTACCGACGACCTCAACTTGAGTGACATGACATTTTTATCAGCCTGATGATGGGATTTTAATCCTGAAACCGGTCGCATAAGACGACAACAATTGGATCACTGACGGACAGGTAATATAAACCATTTTTATGCAGATTATAATCAGGTTTTCCCAGTGAAATTGAAAACTCCCGCATTATTCACGACTCATTGTCGTAAAGAAAGGCTGGTAAGTGGACTTTCAAGTCAAATTAAAATTAAAATGGTTTATTCAGCCATTAAACACTACAGTAATAGGCTTTGTCTAATATACATAATTCAATTAGGTTAAATAAAAATACAATACATCAGAGTTTGGTTAGCAATAAAATCTAACCATGCCAATAGTCTGAACTTGTTCTGCATTATCGCCCTAGATAGGAAACAAATATGTCGGACACTAATTCGGATATCCCGAAGAGTCGGTTATAACAAAGTGGATATGAGGGCAGCTACTGTATGTTAAGTTTCAAAGCATATCTTAAACAGTAATTCCACTTAGTTAATTCCTCCAAGGGTGATAGGTCCACCACTGAGACATGATGATTCCATGGTAGAAGAGAGAGTTACTTCCCCCTGTTGTAGTAGCCTAACCTGCCTCCCTAAACCTTCTGCTTGTGGTACTTTGACGACCTCACCCAAATAAAATCTGCCACATTCATCCCACCTGCAACAACAGTTTTTGCTCCAGATGATTCTGTGTTCCAGATTGTTTAACAATTAACGAGGATCATACCCTCTGTTCGGATTTTGAATTAAAGTGTCATTGCAAGCAAAACATTGAAGTTAGGATTTTATAGTATTTGCCTACTATTGTATGTTTTTGTAACCATTTTCCAATATTGTTTCAGGACCATGCGTATGAACTGCTGATACTGCCATTTGCACCTAAATCACTTTTTAGGTAAGTTTCACATAGCTCAGCACGCATAGCTGTCTAAGAGACTGTCATATAATTCCTTTCTATCTGTACATTGTAACATCTGTTCAAATGTTTAGAAGTTGTTTTTGTTTACTATGATGTTAGTTTGTTTCATATTGTTAGTTCTATATCATGGTAGATAAAGCTATCTATGTTCAATAAAGCCTAACTAAAGGTAATTTCGTTTATAATGGTTTTATTCATTCAATCTACAACAATTTATTGAACATAGAAGATTTTATTAAAATATACATCAATCTTTTTTCATGGAACGGATACTCAGACCTGAAAGATTTAATGCCAATCCTAATGAAGTCAATGCAAGTCAAGATTGGAAACACTGGTTTCACACTTTTGAAAACTTTATTGAAACTAGTAAAATCAGTGAAGAATTGAGGCTTAAAGTATTAACCAATTTCATTTCACCATCCGTTTATGAATATGTAAATGACTGTGAAACATACAAACAAGCAATTGATGTGTTAAAAAGGTTGTACTTGAAACCTGTCAATGAAATCTATGCACGTCATAAACTAAGAATCAGAAGACAAGAGTCTGGTGAGTGCATTGATACATACGTAGAATCTCTGAAGCGACTTTCCAAAGATTGTAACTTTAAAGCTGTCAATGCTGTATCAAGTAGAGATGAATATATCAGAGACACATTCATTGATGGCTTGCTAGTACCTCACATTCGTCAACGGTTGTTGGAAAGCTCTACTTTGTCTTTAGATGAAGCAGTTTCTCAAGCCAGATCACTCGAACTTGCTAAATATCACTCTGAACAGTACAACTTAGACAAGTGCTTACCAACAATCAACGCTGCAGCCTCAAAACCTATCACTGAAAAGAATCCATACTTGTCCAGTCCTGATCCAACACCTTCTGCTGCCAAGCCAGAATCGTATCCATCTCAAGAAAATATAGCGTGTTCACTCAATCAGACATGTTACTTCTGCGGCTTTAAGAAACACAATAGAGCTGTTTGTCCAGCTAAAGAAGCTATATGCAGAGGATGCGGCATTAAAGGTCATTACCAAAAGGTATGTAGAAAATCCAAAACACCAACTTCTACAGTAAAGGCATCAGTCCATCAGTCAAATTGTATTGCCTCAGTACCATCGTGTTTGAGTAAAGCTGTAGTCCCAGTACAATTAAATGGAGTCGATGCATACGCTCTTATAGATACTGGTAGTTCTGGTAGTTTTATCAATCAAAGCTCAGCACTTAGATTCAACATCCCTGTCATTCCATGTAATGGGGGAGAGGTATCAATGGCTTCCACAACTCTGCGTTCTTCAATAAAAGGGTACTGTAAAATCAATCTTAAATTACAAGATCATACTTACAAGAATGTGGTCTTCAGCGTACTTACAAACTTATGTTCTGACATTATTATAGGACATGACATTCTAAAAAGACACTCAAGTTTACAAGTACAATTTGGAGGAAAAGAGTCGCCTCTCAACATATGTAGTGTGGCTTTAGCTAATGTTGAGCCAGTAGAACTATTTCGTAATCTATCTCCAGATTGTAAGCTTATTGCAACAAAATCTCGAAGGCACTCAGCAATTGACGAACAGTTTATTGAAAGTGAAATTCAATTACTGTTAAAAGAGGGTATTATTGAAGAAAGCAGGTCTCCATGGAGAGCACAAGTCCTTGTTGTTTCATCAGATAACCACAAACAGAGAATGGTTGTCGATTATTCACAGACAATTAATCGTTTTACAGAACTTGATGCATTTCCACTCCCTAGGATTGATGACATAGTCAACAAAGTAGCTTCATACAAAGTTTATAGTTCTATTGATCTTAAGAGTGCCTATCATCAAATCCCAATAACAGAAAATGACAAACCTTACACGGCATTTGAAGCTTGCGGGAATTTGTACCAATTCACACGAGTGCCTTTTGGAGTTCGTAATGGTGTCCCTGCTTTTCAACGTACGTTAACCAACATAATCACTTATGAAAAACTTGAAGGTGTTCAGGTCTATCTGGATGATATAACAATCTGTGGCAATGATCAGGCTGAACATGACAGGAACTTGAGCAATTTTATGAAAGCTGTTTCCAAATATAATCTTACCTTGAATAAACATAAATGCAAGTTTTCTACAGCCATGATCCATCTATTGGGTTATGTAATCAGTCATAAATCAATAAGACCAGATCCAGATCGTCTGCAACCACTTCGAGATCTTCCCATTCCAACCAACTCAAACTCTCTTCACAGAGCTCTTGGTATGTTCTCCCACTATTCACAATTCATTCCTAAATTTTCTGAGAAGGTGAGCTGTTTAAACAGAAGTTCATTTCCACTGAATGAAGAAGCTAAATGTGTATTCCAAAGACTTAAACAAGACATTGTTAATGCAGTAACTTCTTCGATTGACTGTGATGGGTTGTTAACAGTTGAAACTGATGCATCAAATCATGCAATAGGAGCAGCTTTGACTATTGATGGTAGACCCGTAGCGTTTTTCTCTAGAACACTTACTAACTCGGAACAGAAACATTCATCTATTGAGAAAGAAGCATATGCAATAGTTGAAGCGTTAAGAAAATGGAGGCACTATCTCATAGGCAGACACTTTCGCCTTATAACAGACCAACGATCTGTAGCATTCATGTTCAGTGATCGGAATGCAAGCAAAATCAAGAATGATAAAATAATGAGATGGAGAATTGAGTTATCCTGTTATAAGTATGAGATCATTTACAGAGCTGGAAAAGAGAACAAAACAGTAGATGCTTTATCCAGGGTGTGTTCATCGATGGAAGGAAGTTTATCAAACCTTGTATCACTACATGACGCTTTATGTCATCCAGGAGTGTCTCAAATGTATCATTGGACTCGGAGTAAAAACTTGCCTTATTCACTGGATGAGATCAGAAAAGTAACTTCCTCCTGTCGAACCTGCTTAGAGGTAAAACCTCGATTCCACAAACATGAAGGACAACTTATCAAAGCTACTCAACCATTCGAAAGACTGAATATAGATTTTAAAGGGCCACTTCCTTCCAAGAGTAGAAATCGTTATCTTTTAATAGTCGTAGATGAATACTCTCGATTTCCATTCGCGTTCCCTACTCAAGACACAGCTGCTAGGACTGTTATTCTGAGACTTAAGGAACTTTTCTCAATGTTTGGAGTACCGGCTTATATTCATTCTGACAGAGGTTCATGTTTTATGTCTCAAGAACTAAAATCATTTTTATGTTCACTAGGAGTTGCTACCAGTCGTACAACAGCTTACAATCCTCAGGGCAACGGACAAGCTGAGAGGTATGTTGGTATTATATGGAAGACAATCGAACTATCACTTAAAAGTAAAAATCTGGACATATCTGATTGGGAAAAAGTACATTTAGAAGCTTTGCACTCTATCCGGTCGTTATTGTGTACTTCAACAAATACAACACCGCATGAAAGACTATTTCTCTTTTCTAGAAGATCTAGTAATGGTAAGACAACTCCATCTTGGCTCATGAATCCAGGTCCAGTGCTCATGAAACGGCCTGTCAGGAGCTCGAAATACGAACCACTCGTTGAAGAAGTACTGCTCCTTGAGGGGAATCCTGAGTATTCTCACATAAGATATGCAGATGGCCGTGAAACTACAGTGAGTTCCAGGCAATTAGCACCTGTAGGAGAAGTGTCACATCATGAAGAAGACTCAAACTCCAATCTACGACATGAAGAAGACTCAAATCCCAATCTACGACATGAAGAAGACTCAAACACCAATCTACAAATAAATGAAAGAAGTTCTCAAGTTGATGCTGGACCTGAGCCTATCTTCCAAGACGAGGAAAGACTGAATCAGGACCAGATTGCTCTAAGGAGAAGCTCCAGAAGTAAACACCCGCCTTTGTATCTAAAAGACTATGTCAGCTAGGAGGGGAAGAATGTTATATAATTCCTTTCTATCTGTACATTGTAACATCTGTTCAAATGTTTAGAAGTTGTTTTTGTTTACTATGATGTTAGTTTGTTTCATATTGTTAGTTCTATATCATGGTAGATAAAGCTATCTATGTTCAATAAAGCCTAACTAAAGGTAATTTCGTTTATAATGGTTTTATTCATTCAATCTACAACAGAGACCGGGTTTGTACTTTTTTGTGTAAAAATTATATTTGTTGGTTGTCGATATTGTCAGCCTTTACTGTGCACAACACACCACATTCCAAGAACACTGTGTGACCTACTTTTTGCCATCCTTCGCCTCCTCATTTCAGTCTAGTGACAGCTTTTTGTCATGTGCTGGTCGATTCCACCAGTTAACTGACTTAGTGGGCTTCCTTGCACTGATTATAGCACACCAAGTAGCTAATTGCTGCATTTACTTATTTTTGCCACACTCACTTTTTTTTCTCTCCAGTATTCCAATCAAACAACACAAAACAGTGTAATTTTATTAGGCACGTAATACGTGTACGCTTGAAAATAAGTTTAATGTTTAAAATAAGGCAACACTTGCTACAACTAAATACTACGACTACAATCAGATGGTGCAGCATTCCTCATTTCCTTCAACCCTTGGATTTAACCTAACCTAAAAACGTGTTGTATAGTGTATAAAAAAGACTAATTATTTAAATGCTTTATAATTATTGAGGAGAAAAGAAGGATAACTAACTCACCTTGTAACTGTAAGAAACATATAATGTGTAACGCGAGTGCAAAGTGCCTTTGCTGCACTCGAGAAACTTTCCACACCAAATAACTATTGAGGCATTATTGAGCTATATGAGAAACGGTTTCAACTAAACAAACAATGCAAGGTGTATGATTCTGTTACATCTCTCCATTTGTATTTTATATCATCTTAATCATATTCAGATGGTTGTAAATTCAATTTTCAAACCATTTTTACGATTTGGATGAATTAAAATTTAGTGCTTACTGAAATATGGGTTTTTTAACTTTTTGATAAAAAACAGAATTTTTAAAATTTTAATTAATAAATGCTGGTACTCCAGTCCCATCTTTAAATTCTCTAAGGGCCCTCCACTTCTTTCTTGTCTTCCTTAGACACACGTGGCCCTTAATGTTTCACAGATGGTTTTAACCCTTATCCAGTTCATCACTAAACTGTAAGGTTTCTTCCATTGCTCTGAGCAATGTCTGAGACTCTTTGCCTAGCATTCCATCCACAAAAGTGATTAGAGGGGTGAAAGAAGTGTTTCTTGTTTCTGTTAACTAGTTTTAAGAATTTTCTCTTCTTCTATCTTTCTGTATTTTCCAGTACTTTTTCGTATGGGAGGATTGAGTACGATGGAGCAACAGTGTCAACGACACGTACATTGATTAATGCTTCCATTTGAACCTCCCATACACCCGGCAATGGTTATTTATAATTAATCTGAAACAGAAATGTAACTTTATTTGTTCTTTATTGTAAAATCACTTATATTCGTTGTGCCTAAACCATCATTGCTTTAAATATTAGCGTTACAAGTTAACAGTGATTTTGACATCCGCAATCATCAGTGTATATGTTGTCTGTTTCAGACTGAGTTTAGACGTAGTTTGCAAGTATCCGAAATATCTCCAAGCAGAGTTTCCTTCTCTTCCACTTCATCTACAGTCAGTGATCGCATCTCGCCTGAATAATCCGTCCTAGCCTGACTTCACGCTGTTTACAATTTTGTACTGATAGTTCTTAAATTAGCCGTTGTCTTAATGGAGGTTTCACGATAACTATCGCTTACGGTATTAGCTGCATGACATGCAGTGGTTGAGTTTTGTTAATCAATTGCTTCAAGCGTAAAAATTCAAGTTTTCACAATTTAGATAATTTTATTAAAATGTAACAAATTTATATATGAACGTGTGTTATTTACTTAGTGGTTGGTTTTAGGCTTACCAGGCAGGTAATGGTTGAGTTTCAGCTAATTCTCTTATAAAGTTTTATTGGAACTAACATTTTATTTAGATATTTATGGGTCTATGACCTAATTCTGTGATTTCCTTCTTGTAAGTTGTAAGTTAATTAGTTGTATGGATGTGCAAGTAAGTATTATGTTTAAGGGATTTCACACCTTCTGGTGTGTTGTTAGAATGTTTGTTAAAAATTGGCAATTTGGATTGTGTTTCACACTTTGCTTTCTCTAACTTGAATTAGGCTAGTAACGTTGCTTCAGCCAATACTTCAGTTAAACCATTTATGTGTTTACCCATTAGTCTTAACACTAATACTGAAACCCTATCCAGGCTGACACTAACCGAAACCCCCGGTCTGAACACGTTCCACGCAAAACACACTTACTGTTGTCTGATAGTGGTCTTCGGACCTATCTATCACTGAAGAGACTAAATAAAGTCGAAACAACAGAGCACACCTCTATCCTTAAAGGCGGATAGTTGTATTTGTTTTGCGTTGAACGTGTTCATTACAAGATTCCAGCATTCACTGGGCGGTACGAGCGTTCGACTCATTTTTACAAACTCTGTATGATGGTGGAAGAATTTAGCAATCCACAATGTCAAGAGTGCCAACTTTTCAAAATTTCACAGAGACTAAGTCATCCAAAGGCACTGGACGTGAAAACAAACAAACATCAAAAAAGTTTCTTACTGTTCCATTTGTCACCAACGGCTGTCAGACGATAAACCGATGCACTTTTGTCTTCCTTGTGTGTGCAGTGCACGCAGTTGTCCCCGCACGGTCTTCTAGATAGTGCATCTGCATTCCTGTGCAGGGCCGTCGCGTGGCTTTTTGGCGCCCGGGGCGGGTTGTTGCCAGGCGCCCCCCCCCCCCCCCCAAAACACACAATGAGTGATGATGTCGCTATCTTTGTTTTAATCCCCAAAAACAGACACCTAAAGGGACTGAATCACCTTAGAAAAATACTAGAGTCAGGAATCAGGGATTGATTATTAGGGATAAATTACTTAAATTTTGTATGCAAATATTTTTTAATTGATGATAACCAAATCCCTATTAAGAAAATGTAAAAATGTATAAAAAGTACTATACTGTTATTACTGTTAAGTTACTATATGTTATTAATTAATACAGAGCAAATTGAAATTAATGCAATGTATGCAAAACCTCAAACCAAACCTACTCTGAATAGAATTTTTATACAGAATAAAAGAAAACCACGTTATCACATTTAGATATGAGAACCTAAACATTAAATGTTACAAACTAGAGAACCTGGCACACAAAATCGTGCGCAATTTAGACAAAGGAGAAGAAGGATTTGTATTGATTTTTTTTATTTGGCGTTATCTCGTTTCTTGGTGTTGTTGCTAAAGCTGGTGATAGTAAAAGGCCTAATTGAGTTCGCAGTTTACCTGCCGTTTTTGCAGTTTCTTTTGTGAAAGTCAGTAAAGATTCGTTTTTGATTAATTGATGATAACCTAAATAATAAGCCAAACCCGTGTAACTGCTGTACTGTCAGTTCACTTTAAAATTCACTGAACCCTAATAATGTGTTTTGCAGTGAATTTCAAAGATTTTTTGATAGATGGCAAATCTACGTACCACACCCTATCCAACGGCACCTCAAACTTGGTAAACCGATGCATAGCAGCTTCAAAACAATTATGCCAAAAATATGTCTAGCGTATTAAATATATAGATAACTCGTCAAACTAAGCTGGCAGCTCAGCTGAACGAGACTTTGCCGTCAGACCGTCACCGCCCACCACCGCGCCGTGCAGAACGCATCATACCGTGCATAGCCGAACTGTTCGTGGGAAATTGTTATCTTTATCACTGTTGCTGTCAAAACGTGTCATTTGTAGGTTAAATTTAAATTAATTTAACTGTCATAACCTAACCAAACTTGCTGATAATGAAAATTTCGAATGAAGGTTTAATAACAAAAATAGTTCTGTTCATAAAATAAAATTATAAATATCTCAAAATCAATTAAATAATTTTTTAATTATAAAATTAAACTATCATAACCTAACCAAACCAACCATACTTGCTGATAATGACAAAATCGAGTCAAAAAGTTAATGCCTCCGGTAGGTTACGAACCGGCTACCTCTGTTAACCCGGTGCGCTATCCACTACACCGAGACTGTTCACCGGTTGTTCACCACTCCGACTGTTCACCGTATCGTTGCGGTAATGGTGTTCGCTCGAGCACGAGCAGTGGTGGAACAGGTGGGCGGTGGCGGTCGGTCGGCAAGGGTTAATCTGAGCTGAGAATGCCGTAGGAGAAAGGAGTGATTGGGGTAGAGGGGTGGCTCCCAAGGTCAACGGTCGGCCGGTCGGGCGAAATATAAATAGAATACGGCAGCTACGTGTACAGAGCAACACCGCGAACCGTGACATTGTAATATTAAGATAATTAAGACATTGCAATATAAAGATAATTAATTTGGGACAGAGCCTTCAAATCAACAGTGGAGTTGATTGTTTAGGCTATTATTACTAAATTTAATTCAATATTATATTGATATTTAATTTGAAAAACATTGCAAATTATAAAGTGATTGGTACCTATCAAATAATATTTATTTGTTCAATAAAGGCATACAACGTAATATTCAACATTCAGTTACACACACAAATAATAGAACTAGTATTTGTGGTTATACATAACTTTCCAAAATACGTTATGTGCATCTAACTTTTTTTTAATTTGTTGCATTACTTTTGCCGCGGCGCCCCCCTGACCGCGGCGCCCAGGGCGGTCGCCCTGGTCGCCCCACCCACGCGACGGCCCTGTTCCTGTGGCTCGGTCCCGCACGATGGATTGATTCAAAGTCATACTCCTGTAACCTGTAACCTTTCTATCCATCTTGCAACCTGTCCTTCAGGAGACTTAAATCTTAGCAACCACATCAGTGCGGCATGGTCCATTCTCAAGAGAAACCTTCCATACAGATACTTATGAAAGTGTTCTATGGAGGTTCTGGGCCCCTATTGATGTAGTCCGTTGACATGGATCTATTGTCTATCACTGGTGCGCTCGTAGAAACCGGTGTTGACAAACAATCCTTTGAGACGGTGCCTGGCTATTGTTGCGCGGGGCTCCTGACTTGTAACAATATCAACAGGTAGGGGAAGGTATTGGGGGAATGGAATCCCCCAAGTAAACAGTGATGCCAACATGCGTTTGTGAAAATTACCGTGGGCCTGTCAGACCGGGGTTTCGGTAATAGTGTTAAAACCAAGTAGCAGTTATATCTTGTTACTATGATTTTTTTATGATTTGGCTATTTACTGACTTTATTATGTACACATTTTGAAAGAAACTTAACTCTCATTTATGTTTTTGTGTATCAAATACTTGCACACCTATGGATGTTGTGTGAACGTACGTAAGCTCGTGGAGACAAAGTATCATTACTAGGATTTGTGGTTTTGCTGGTGCTGTTTGGTCAGAGAAGGCTCCGATTTCTAATTTGTATTACAACAAATCGGGTTTTAGGAAGTGTAAAAAATGTATGACCTGTTGTTTTTACCATGTTTGTTGTTTTGAGATTTTGTTTTCTATGTTGCTGTTACATTATATTACATTTTTATGTACTACTTAGCTATTTATTTTTTACAATTTGTACAGTAGGCTCTCGAAAACTGGACTAAAAAGATGGAGAGCTGATTTCCCAAAGCCAGTCCCAAGAGAGTAGCATAGTAATGAAGCCAGTAGAATCTATGGCCCTTTTTGGCACCTTTTTTTGTTAACGAGGTCTATTGTAACATCTGTTATTTAATGACCAATAAAGATTTATGACTTAATGTACATGTTAAAAACTCTGATATATTAACTTGAGATATAGTCCAGTTAGTACTTTAATACACGTTGTAGATACAAAATCCTCATTATAACTCCCGGGGACATTTCCACTTCCCAGTATTAATACTAGGGGTACAATGCAGTTGTCTGCTTGCAATATTGAGCGGGGAGAACATATTTATCCAATACTCAATAAGTCAATGCTACATCTGGTTCACACAAATGAGATGTCTGCTTGTAGTATGCAAAGTCAATGTGTGTATGACCCCCAGTCTATGTGAGATGAATCCTTGCAGTATCCAAAGTAATCGATTAAATTAGCTTAGGGAAAGCCCTATAGTCCGATTTGAACCATTTAGGATTTATACCTTCCCATGCTTGGATGACTGCTAAATCGTGTGGATTGCTTCAGTCATTCAGGAAGAGTATTTGTAAAACAAAAGCAGGAGTGTAGTAAAGGAGCTTTGCTCGCTCCGCTCAATAACCCACACCTTTTATAACATTATGTAATGTGTAATACTAGAATCAACGTGTCTTTGCAATGAGGAAAATAGCTTGGCACAAAAGTTCCAAGTATTATCTTAAAGATTTTTTATCATAACATTTCCTTGATTGGTCCTGATTAATGAGAGTCTACTGTATAAAAAATAAACTGACTAACAGACTATTTCTCTACATATCAATAAATGTGTGTCATTTAGTTTTATCACTTTAAAAAAACTATCTATCGGTAAATTCTCATTCATTTAAATGTAAACTGTATAGTTATTTTAATAAATTTTTATTCCCACCGACTAATCGACCCCAACATTTGATCAAGTCAAACATAGTAAAACCATAGACTAACCAACACAAGGTAAAACTCATTGAAATTCATTTTACAAGCCATTGCCAATAAAAATTTTATTCACTAATACATGTAAAATTATTGTTGTTGAGTTAAATAATTCATAGGAAACCATTGGAGGCAGTATACAATTTATTTGCTGCGAAGAAAGGAAATTTTTCCTGTACCTTATAAACCAATTATCAAGCATAATAATAGTTTTAATTAGTTAATTTGATAATTAATTTGTAATGAATAATGATTATTTTTTTAGATTTAAATTTAGTTTAATGCATAATAAAATTATCAATCCCCTTTGATTTTAGCCAAAAATTAAAATCACATGTTGGCTGTAGGATACTTTATTGATTGCTGCCTTATATATATTTTACTTTTATTGTTAAGTGCATACATACATTAGTTAGTTGTACTTAATTGTGTAATATTTTAGTTGATCTCAGTATGTATAGTTTATCGTATATCACAGATCGTTTAGCCTCATCTCGGACCATACATTTAGTGTCGTTCCTTTAAACTAAGTAAATCATTTCTCTCTCTTTTTAAAGTTCCTTGTTACGAATAAATCAATTTCTTATTACTAGTATATCGATGTTATTGGGTTAGCTAAATGTTTACTGTTATTATAAATGGTTTGTAATTATGTTGATTGATGTATTTAAAGTTTTATCTAATAAAATACAGTTTGTCATCAAAGTCTGAATGTATTGTTTCCTGATGGTATTTTAAACGGAGAGGAATGAGGTGGCCTTCATCAGGACTATTCAACACCACAATTATCAAGGAAAGCTGGGTACAGTAATGTAGCCTACCATTAACAAGCTACCAGGCTTTTCTCAGGATAAACCATTTGACTATTAAGTGAGCAGTATATCCACTGTTCCACTCAGCTGCCCAGAATTTTGCATCGGTTTTAAGTTAGTATTTGGTTTATAGAAGAAAAATTCCATTGACATTTTAAAATTAATAGCAAGTGTACTTTTGTATTCCTTTTACCTTGTGTCAAACTAACATTGGCTTAACAGCAAAAAATACAGTTCTTCGCAAGATGTTTATTTAAACATCTCGCTGTTAATGTTTGCATAGGTGATCCAACTATTGAAACTTACGTAGCCCCAATTGTCAATTCTTGAGCAACTGAAATATTTTTTTGTAAGTTTTGCCAACATTATGGTGTAAGTAAAACACTATAAAACAACAACTACTGTAGTATCTGGGTTTAGGTAGATGGTGAGTCAAAACAGAAGCTAAGTCAACTTTACGCAGGTAAGTGATGTAATTTTACTCACATTAGAAATAAATTGTATCTAGGCTATTTCAAATATGTCTAGATGATAAGCTTCCACGGTCACTGTAGATTGTCAAATCTTGGTCTTCGGGTGTTGACCGCGTCGTTGAATAACTTAAACTAGAGGCCGACGTTTCGGATGCGTAGCAGCTATCCATCTTCGGGGCGAACTACTATTCAACTGAAGTTCGCCCCGAAGATGGATAGCTGCTACGCATCCGAAACGTCGGCCTCTAGTTTAAGTTATTCAACGACGCGGTCAACACCCGAAGACCAAGATTTGACTATTTCAAATATGATTTAATTTAATTCATTTTTAATATTACTTTAATTTTTATCTTAACTTTTTAACTTGAATTTTTCATATTGTTAATAAGGTAAATATAACTAGGAGTACGCCCCGAAGTCGCGTATGAGAATGAACAAAGACAATTCCATGTACATATAATCTGTCTTTGGCCTTGGCCCCTCACCCTGCCCCTACAACGCGGCTCGCCGCAAGTTTATAGGTCTAGGTAGGGTTACACTGTTATTTTCACATAATAACTCAACAATTTCTGGAATAATAATGTATTTACAAAAATACTGGTAGGGGGTAACCAATTATCTACCAAAAAGTATTGCAATTGATTGAAAAATAAATATTTACATGTTTATTCTACAGGCTACGTTTCTTCATTAGTAAGACGGTCGACAAAGGGGTGGGTAAAAGTAAAAGTCTACTATTGTTTCCTAGCTTGCTAAAAGTTAAGTTTTAGCAGATTTAGCGTTGACCATTGACTATTGGATACTCTTTGACTATATTAATACAACTTCAGTTTTCCATAGTCAATGGTTTTAGGTAGTTATTTTCATTTAGTGGTTTTTCTCAAATAAAAATGCGTCGTTGGCTTTATCTATTTGTCTCTAGTAAAACAACAAAATTGTAGGTCTTAAAACGTAAACAAATAAAAATAAGAAGAAGGTAGCTGTTAATGTTAATCTTATGGGACAAAATTAAAAAAAAATTTAAGATTTTATAGTAGCCTAATTACGGAACAAATATTTTTCAACAACCAATGGTCGCAAGATATTGTGGTATAGAATCTTTGCGCAAAACATCAAGTTATAAATTTAGCCATTCTCAAGTTTTCGGACAACAGAAAGATGCATCTCGCACCAGTATGAGAATTCACCTCGTTCATTCAATTAATACTACCATTGACAATTGGATACAGAAGTTTGTTGTATTAATAGTCAAAGATACTACCTAATCTGCTTGAAAACCTAAACAAGGCAAGAGAGAAAAATAGATAAAGAGGTTTTATAGGTGTCCTCTTTACTGTGGCTGGCCGAAGGTTCAGCCCTACTCACACACATGCGGGACTTACACACACAGACACAAGTGATTAGGATAGACCATTGAGTGTGTGTAGGTCCCTTGCCGGTAGTTCTCCACTCTCTCTCTCTCTCTGAACAATCGGAATCAGAATATAAGCTTAAGGCCTACCGCACACGAGAGACTTTTTGTCGGCCGACTGTTGGCCATCTGTCTGGCTGGAGTCGGGTGAACAATCGAAAAGTCGTCAAGACTGTTTGGTCGTTGACTATGGGTGCGCACACAACACGACTGTTTAGTCGTCTTTCGAGTGTCAAAAGGATGTATATGACAGAAACTGCTGTCATATGTGCGTTACTGATAAGATTTCGTGCAAGAAAACTTAAGAGAAAATACTGGGTGCATCCAATTTATAGTCCGAGAACCTTAAAAGGCCAGATTGACTTCTAAACTCGGATTTGAGAAAATATCCGGACAAATGTTTCATGTACTCATGAATGAGTGTTGATTTTTTGACCAATTGTTAATACCCCGGCTTCAAATACCTCATCCCATAACTTTTAGGGAATAAGCTGTAACCGTAGGTCTCATGGCGAGACCTGGTCCCGTGACCGTTTACCTTTTCGTTTCATGTCCCCAGAGGCCAAAAACACCATCCGTTCAAATTCACACACACAGATATATTATGTTTGTCTTTTAGCACAATAACTCGCAAAAAAATTATCCGATTTTGATGAAATTTGGTACAAACGAGTAAACCTACATCTATTTTATTCTAAGGAGTTCGCAAACCAGCATGATCGGACTATGGGAACGGGGGTTTATGGGGGGTTTTATCGGGTAAAAATGGGGGTTTCCATTTTTTTACGATAAAAACAAAAGATTCCGCAATTTCTTTGGAAAACATTTTGCAGAGCTTGAAAAACAAATAATATAGCATGCTAATTGTTATCATAATGGTTACCTACAGGGAAATTCCAAAATATTTAAAGTTAAAATTGTCATGTCATTTATATGTAGAACAAGTAAACTGTTGTAGTTTGCTTGTTTATGGATGTATTTTGATGAAACTTGGCAAATCTATTTATTTTATACTCAGCTATTAATGTTTGTCTAAAACACACCCTGAATACCCTACCTGTAGCAGCAAACCTAAGTACCTACTCGTTTATCCTAATTTTATTGAAATAGATTAAATAAAAATTAAATCAGGCAAATGGGAATTCACTTAGTCTGCAGGTTTGCTGCAGCGGGGGTATTTTTTTATTATGACCAAATACTCTTTCAAAGTCTTTTTATAAAGAGGGGACCGTGCCTCAACTTCATCGATAAGTTTATAAACTTTCTCGTCCCTCAAAACACTTGCACTGGTGGTTGTCGAAGCCATAATAATAACAATAACACACAAATAATAATACTTATCATAATAACAATAATAATACACATGATAACAACGCACTCGACTGTCAGACAGACAGACTTTTTAGTCGTCAGTGTGCGCGTTCAAACTTATCTCCGTGCCTTTATCAATAAGACACGACAGTTGAGTCGGGGAGCAGTCGGGTACGTCCACAATGCACGCTGGTAAAGGCCAAGTCACACCGAGCTCGCTCCCGCGGCGGGAGCGAACTTTGAAAAATCGCTCACCATGTTATCAAATGTGCCAAGTCACACCGCACTACCGCGCGCCCGCGGGCGTGCGGTAGTGTCCGCCACGTCCGCCTGCTGAGCGATTTTTTGAGACTACCGCGGCGGGAGTTTTGTCTAGCGCATGCGCAAAGGGGCATTTCGAATGCCCAAGCTATTTAAAGTTTAAAAGTAATACAGTTTAATACAGATTTAAATTAAATTTAACTTGTTTCTTTTGTTTGATTATGTAGTCTATGTTGTTTTTATTATCTTCGTAATTATGTTTATCACCAGAAAAAAATCATTTTTGTTTACCATGCAAAAATAATGTTTACGGTGGAAAATTAATGTTCCACATAAACATTTTTATATTGCCACGTAAACAATTTTTTTTATCGTTTCATCAATTTTTTCGATTTGCAACAACCAAAACTTTACAATCAATGTAAACTTGAACTTTCAATAGAAGGCTTAGCAAAAAAATACATTAGTGTTAAAATGGTCATATGTTTTTATTTAAAAAGTAAATAGTCTTTGTAGTGTAGCGAAAAATAACGTTCAAAAGCTGAAAGTGGAAAATTTATACACAACCATATTTAAAATGCTTCGAACACAAGGTCTAAATTAAATAAAAAAAAAATAGTTATTCACTTTTTAAAGTAGCCCTACACTAACAAATTAATAAACATTCAATTGCTTCTTAAACACTTTACTTAAAACCTGCAAATTTACATGGCATACTAAACAGGTAAGATGAGTTTCTTATGTAAAACGAATTGTAATGAACTCATCTCAAAACTCCCGCCGCGGGCGCGAACTTTTGGTGTGACATGGCTCGAGGAAAAACATCCGCGCGCGGTACTCCCGCGGCGGGAGCGGCAGATGTCGGTGTGACATGGCCTTAGGCAGGAAGTCAGATTCAGATTTTCGGCGCCGAGTGTCTGACTCCGATGGGGTGGCCATAATGCAAGCAGGTTAAAGCCGTACCTGTCTGTTTTGAGACCTATTTAAGGGATACTTACATATTTTCCCGTAACTTCTTGCAGACGACAACAGTTTTTTTTAATGTTCGGAATGAGCTTGAACGCCTTTTATTGAATCCTCTTAACAATTGAGTACAAGCTCGCAAAAAACTAGGGAAAATATCACAAAACTTGAATTAGCGTGTCCCACTGAGGTAAATAAATTTATTTCCGTGAGTTAAATTGTTTATTTTGTAAAAATGTAATATTATAAACAATTTAATTAAATCAGCAGATAAATTTGAGGTAAAATGTTACTATATATATTTTTTTAATTATGCACTTTGATGCGCTTATTATTTAATTATTAATTTGCTGGAACGTGTTGAACTATTGATGGCAATTGGTCGATATCCATGGTTAATATAATGAAACACTTATACACTCAATACATAAACTAAAATTAACAGTCCGATATAGGCAGGTTGTCTGAAACCAGAATGAACAATTCATTCCGGTAAAAATCTGAGTCAGACTACCGCGCGCAGAAAATCGGCGCGCAGGTGCACTATGGCCGCTTACGTTTACTAGCATGGGATGATAAGCGCGCCGAGTCGGACTCTATGGGTACGTCCACAATGCACGCTGGTATAAGCAGGAAGTCAGATTCAGATTTTCGGCGCCGAGTGCCTGACTCCGGTGGGGTGGCCATAATGCAAGCAGGTTGTAAGCTGTAGGGACCTGTCTGTGTTGAGACCTATTTAAGGGATACATACATATATTCTTGCAACTTCTTGCAGACGACAACAGGGGTTTTCAATATTTCAGATTGAGCTTGCACACCTTTTATTTAATCCTCATAAAAATCGAGCACAAGCTCGCCAAAACTGGGGAAAATATCACAAAACATTGAATTTGCATATCCCGCTGAGGTAAATCAATTTATTTGAGTAAGTTAAATGGTTTATTTTGTAAAAATGCAATATTAAAAACAATTTAACTAAACCAGCAGATATATTTAACGTACAATGTTGCCATATACAAAAAAAAATCACTTTAATGTGCTTATATTGCTATTTGCTGGAATGTGTTGAACTTTTGATAGCAATTGGTCGATATCCATGGTTAATGTAATGAAACACGTATACACTTAATACAAAAACAAAAATCAACAGTCCGATAAAGCAGGTTGTCTGAAACCAGAATGAACAATTCATTCCGGTAAAAATCGGAGTCAGACTGCCTGCGCGCAGAAAATCGGCGCGCAGGTGCACTATGGCCGCTTACGTTTCCTAGCATGGGACGATAAGCGCGCCGAGTCTGACTTAATCGGCGCCGACAGTCTGACTCAGAAAACCAGCGTGCATTGTGGACGTACCCGTCGGCGGGAAAATCGGTCAGCACCAAACTGCCCCGACTGTCTTGCTGCGGTCGGCCCGTGTGCGCGCTCAGATTTACCACTATGGGGCCGACTTTGACTCCCGACTACGACTAAATAGTCGGCCGACAAAAAGTCTCTCGTGTGCGGTAGGCCTAAAGTTAAGGTTAATTTTAAAGTCTGGTTCCTTCTTAGGAAACATTACAAATTAAAGCAAGAACAAATTAGATTTGTTTAAAGTCAAGTAATTCACCTTTTAATTTAATTGGGAAAATAGTTTTTCATGATTTGATTGTAGGCTCTTGGGAATTATATAACTAAAAAACATGGCAACTATATAATTTCTCACTTTAATTTAATTTTGTTTCAAATTAAACTATTATAGGCCTACATTGTTCTTTATTTTAATTTCAGACAGTATGAAGACGATCTATGACACCTACCTTTTTGCCCTTGTCGTTCTAACTTTGATCTCAGGTAAAGTTATAGTGTTGCATGACTTCTTAAAAGTTAAAGAAAATAATGTGTTGTTTAAAGCAGAATGCTCAAAAATATTTAAAATATTCAATTTGTTTCTAACTTGTGCCATTGAGAATTTCAATGGTTATTACAACTGCTTTGTATTGTATCATACCATTGACTATACACAGAATTCTAATAATAATAATAATTCTAATAATTCTAATTCAGACCATAATAATATTATAAATGATGTGAAAGTTTGTGTGGTTGTTTGTTTGAAGTTCGATCACGAAATAACTACTGGTCGGATTGGGTTGAAATTTGGTATAAAGATAGCTTACATTCCAACATTCCTGTTTAACATATAGACATATTCTTATCTCAAAAATCCTTTCGGGCTCCACCCCAGTGGCTCTGGAGTTTCCCATGTTAACCTTATGAGTATTCATATTTAAAAGAAATAAAGAATTTTGTCAGTTGTTTGTTGTGTCTCGCGAAATTTGGTACATACGTGTAGAATTTCATGGAATAGGTTTATACACCATCAATTTCGTGATGCGTTCAAACGGCTCAGCCCCAGTAGCTCTGGAGTTTCCGGGGACGCGGAATACTATCCCCCGGAAAACTACCCCTCCCCAGGTGAAACGTGACGTCACAAAATCTGCCAACTAACCAATTTTGGATGCTGTGTCCGCGACTGGAATACTAACCCCCCTAGACAAATCATGCTATGTAATTTTAATTCGAGTAATTCCGTTGGATAATAGAAAAGTCATGTGGTGAATATAAAACAGAATTTCGAATTGTTACAGCAAGTTTGGTTGGTTAGGTTAGAACTGTTTGACACGAGTAGGCCTACTTATATTTCAATGGAATTAAAGAATCTTAACAGCTGTTTACACTAAACAATTTGATACTGTGATGTTCAATAGCATTAAAAAGTTAATACTCGTAGGTTCACCAACAGAGTGCAGCACTATTAATTGTTTAAATTTATGACAACAGCTAATTTGTACCAAGCAGAAACAAAAAGCTGTGATACATGGATAATGGATGGATTTTTTACAGTTAGGTTTGACTAGTCAATACTAAAATTAATAAAAGTCTATCTACATACAGCAGATCTAGGGACACATAATAATTGTTCTCTTCAGCATTCTCAAGCTGCTTGCCATTATTTTCAAGGAACCAAAATTGTCTCTTCCGCATCTTGACCCCGTTACAAGGCACGGGTATAGCGGCTAGTTCCTTTTCAATATGAATAACCATAAGGATAACATGGGAAATTCCAGAGCCACTGGGGCGGAGCCCAAAATAATTTTTGAGATAAGGATGATAGGCTAAAATCATAGACTAACCAACACAAGTAGACTTCCCATCTCATTGTAAATTTTGAAGCTCGTTTTTCGTGTCTAGTTCATGTCCGGAGACACTGGTGGCTTATAGTGTCCATGAAATTTTGTTTCTATTATTTTAGAACTAATTTCATTGTTTGTGCTTTATTGTTTGGTTATATAACAAGAGGATGGATTATTGTTTATGATTATATCGTTTTATTTGGTTGTTTTAAATGACTGAAATAATAAGAAACAAATTGTAAACAAAACACGATATCTACAGTGCACCGGACAGAACTAACAAAAAAATTGGCTTCAGCTGTTCCATAAGGATGGGAAATCTACTGAGGGAAAAGAGGGAGTATGTTTTATCTATGCTTAATAGTCAAAGCTTATATTTAGAATTTATTGATCATCGTAAAAATTTGGGGAAAAATTTCAAAATTTATTTACAAAATAAGGTGTGCTATTTAATAGGATTACTATGTGTTTTAGTGATCTTCATATCACTGGCAAATGGACAAGATCAAGACTCAGTAGACTCAGGCTCTGTGGATGTTCCTGACGATTCGGAATCACAACCTATAACACTAGACTACATTTATACCCAGGGTAAAAATTCATAAAATGAATACTTAAATAAAGTGCAATATACTGGTTTTTAATTATTTAATTCCATAACCCACGTTTGGATAGGCTCAAGATAAAAATAGTCATGAAGATAGGGCCGTTGGTGGACACAGTTGTCTCCAAGATTATGAAGAGATTCAAGAGATTGATTGTACCATTGAGTAATAAATACAATAGGTAACGTAAAAAACTATGCTCATGAACGTCAAAAACTATGCTCATGAAAACCTCGAAGATGAAAAAAGAGTGAGTACACAATGATTTTGATCTTACTAATGATACTTTTTAACCTTTGATAGAAAAAATCAAGGGTTTTAACCATTTCACCGTTCCCTCATAACATATTGTGAATACAGTATTTCCATTGGCTAGAAAACACCCAAGTAAAAAATAAACATACTTCTCTAAGGTCTAGGTATAGCCTACATTTCCCAGTGTTTAATGCACAGTACCTAACTTTAATGTATGTTGCATCACACTCTCAGACATGTCTTGATACAAGAATGATTATTCGTAATATCAACTAGCCATTATTTTTAACGCCCCCGTTACAGCAGATCTGCAAACTCTGGTTCCTTCCTTTTTAATTTTTAACAAAACCCAAAATATTTTAAGGAACTTGGTACCATATTTTTTCCTTGGCTAAATTAAACTAACTTTGGCATTTTACGGAACGAGAACACGAGATATTATCGCGGAAGCGGAAGAAGTCTGCGAAGTTTGTGCGATATCACATGAGCCCGGCAGTTGATTGATTACGATGTCGCTGCGATCACGGTTGTATTCATGACGTCACTTTACATTCCCGTATCGTGCAATCCACTTGCACATAATTAAATATGCGTTCTCGATTGTTGTTGGCACTTGATTGTGATGATTGCACCGATTGCACTTGACTTATGATGGACATAACCAGTTTAGATTATGGTTAGTATTATTCAGCAAATATAATATGGTTATAACACGTGAAAACTACAAAAAAAATTCTTATTGGCTTAGTTTTAAACTATCCTTGAATTTTTATACTGTAATTCTTGAATTTTGTTACTCCAAAAACCAGACCAGCTGATTATTGATTTGAATTGTACAACCCGTATCCAGAAAACACTGTATGATTTTAATTTTTTTTATATTTAAATTAACTATTGTTTTGTTTGCTCCTGTTAGGTAAGGTCAACAGTTTCATATAGGATAAAATATTACATAATAAACAATTCCTAGTGATCTGAATAACAATAAAAAAAACAAGTTTGAGAGGCAACGCCATTTTTTGGTCCGTTACCTTACAAAAACGTACCCTAAATTATTTGACTTAAAACTAGGTAAACATTACCTAACCTGTCCAATGGTCAAGCCAATAACATTATCAACATCAATATAGTCATTGAATAGTCATTGAATAGTCATTTATTCAGTCTTTAAACAATACATTATTGTAATTGACATCGTCATTATTATTGTAAAGATATAAGATGCAATACTTATAATTAATAAAATTTGACATGAAAATTCCAAAATATAGGCTGCCCTTAGTTTAACATTTAACAGGTTTAAAATAATCAAAAACAAAAATAATTTACTAGATAGTCGAGAGCAAAGATCAATGAAAAATACCAAAACTTACAACTTGAATCACAAAACGCCAAATAGGAAAAAATTGGCGGGAGTCGAGATTGAGGTTATGCGATCAGCTGGAGGGCGGGTGATCACTGATCAGCTGGTACATACAGCGGCAGGGAGGCTGCTGTATTGATCAGCACGAGACCAAGCCCCAAGTCCCAGTCAGTCAGTGTGTAGTGCGGCTCGCGTTAACACCCTATATTATCCGTCTCGCGGTTATCCGTACTTCCGGTCATGTAGTGAGCGAGTGTACACCCGACTCCTGCTGGATAGATGTGAGTAAAATGTCTTGTAAATTATAAGACGGAAAGAGTGGAGATGAGAAGTTATAAGCAGCACCGCCCCAGAAAAGCGTGCTTAAACACATGTCGGGGAGTTGTGCGAGAGATTTGTGGCAAATCGTCTACTATCGGTTCTAAAATTAATCAAATGTTTTAGAATATTACAGATGATTTAGGGATAATCAATCAAATTTCTTAAGGTTCCGCAATGAGTTGTGATAAATTCATTGATATTGAAATGGTCCAGTAAAACAATCAGAAACATTGTATCATAGTTAGGGTACACTTCTGTTTGAGGGTGTTCGCGTCCAACAAATTAATTCGAAAATTTTGGTTTTCATTAGATTAGGTACTAAATTAGAAATTGAAATGTGTGGTTGGTAACTATTTCTGACGACAAATGCAGCGTAATTTACATGCGAGATAAAATTGTGTAGGGATTTATTACAAAATGTTTTGTTTTGCTGTAATTTCTTCACTATAATAGAAGTGTTTTATATGGAAGGTTCCTGCTATCACTAAAGATTCTTTTTGAACTTAAGATGCATTGGAGATAGATAGCTTAATCAAATCGTCAAATGAATGTTTTGACGAGTCTTGGTCTAGTATACCTATTTCAAAAACTATTTTTTACAAAATAACACTAACAAATTATGAAAACTGAGATGAAGTATAAGATCTGCTAAACGCTAACTTAGAGTCGAAGAAAGTTGTAATTGGGTGAGTGTAGGTAATAACAACTTGAGAACTAAGATTGTCATAATATCACGTTGTCCACATTTTTTAGACTGTGTTGTATTTAATTTTATTAAAATTGCAAGTAAAACCCAAATAAAATTAAATCTAGAGAGTAAAAATGCTACTTTAGACCCGAAACGCATGCATTAGAAACTGTTATTTGCTGCAGTATGACGAAAAATCCTTTTAGCAAATTTCCCATATAGGGAATAAGCTATTGGCTATTACCGTAGGTCTCATGGTAAGACCTGGACCCGGGGTAGATTTACTTTTCGGTTTTGAGGTCCCCAGATCCAATTTTGAAGAAATTTGGTATAAACGTGTAAACCTACATTTATTCGAACGATTTCGCGAACCAGCATGATCGGATTATGAGAACAGAGGTTTATGGGGCGTTTTGGGGTAAACATTGATTTTTACTATTTTCACCCTATAAACATAAGATTTTGCAGTTTCTTTCCAAACCATTTTGTAGAGCTCAAAAAACATATAATTTAGAATACTAGGAGCATTGTTGTACTGTATGTCTAACGGTTACGGAAAAAATCCCAAAAAAGTGTAAATTTAAAATTACCATGTTATTCTTATAGAGAATAAATAAACTGTTGTAGCTTGCTTGTCTATGGACATATTTTTAATGAAGTTTTGTTTACTTTATACTAAGCTATCAATATTTCAATAATCACCCCCCACCCCCCATTTTCTTCCCTGTAGCAGCAAATCTAAATACTCATCAAAATTAATGATATTTAAATAGAAAATAAATCTGACAATTTTAAGGGAATAATTTAGTGGTATTCCAGCCAGGTAGATGGAAATTCGCTTAGTCTGCAGGTTTGCTGCGGCGGGGGTATTTATAGTCCGTAGGGAGTAATAATCAACTATTGTTAAGCAATCGCAAGTATTGAACTTATTAATCGATTGATTTAATAGGTTCGCTCATCGTTGCGTTCGTCTAGTCAATAGTTTGATACATCGATAGTAGCCTTAAACTACAGTACTACTTCTAATAATCACTTACGAAATCAGCTGATTAATAATGCATTAGCAAAATTGAAAACATGGTGGAAATCGATTTTCGTTTTCTAAATAGTCTGTTAAATAATGTTGCAAAATGGCGAAAAATATAGTTCAACCACCTGAGCTCAGTTTCACTGAGGCAATAGTGATGAAATACTATTGAAGAGTTGTGTCTGAACTCTTTAACGGGACTTAAAATACTTCAATGAAACCCCGTTAGATTTTACAGCAATTCAAAATAATATTGTAAGTATTCCAATTAGCTGCTTGGTGACTCTTATCATATTCATATGGGACGCCACTTATGTGCGCATTTTAACCCAAATATGAGTGAATGATGAGTGTGAAAATGGAGTGTGATGCCTTGTGTAGCTTTTTGACTGACTAAGGCCAGCTTTTTAAATAGTCAGGACCATTATTGAAAACATAATGATCAAGAACAGCTGGATTCAGTTTCGAACTTTAAAAAAGCTACGCACTTTTCTCAGGATCGAACCAGCGACCTTTGGATTACTATGTTAGACAGAGTTTTCAATACAAATGAAGTAGATCCTTTAGAGCTTCCTGGAGAACTATGGAGTAAACTACCTATCATACGCCATATAACCATTGAGTATTGGATATACGTAGAAGTAGACATCCCATCTATATGGCTCGATCAGCTGTCGACAATTTTTATAAAAAAGAACATAGTTATGTGAGACAGTGCCAGTCAGAGAATGCGTTAGTGTCTAAAATCAAAATGTCATTTTCTACCATATTCTTTTGTTTCTGACCAAGTTGATAAGTAATCAAGTTAAGTAAGTAATTAAGTTAAGTAACAAGTTATAGCCATAGGCAAATAGTAGGCTATTTAATACTTAAGTCTATGCTAACACAAGAGCGTAAGTTTCCCGCAAGAGCTACGTGGTGCATATCCCTAAATAATTTGTTTCAAGACTTAAATAGTCAACAATTCAATCAATAATTGTACTTGATTATTGTAACGAATTGTTAACCATACTGTACAAACCTACCACATTGGTTTTACCTTGTATATTCGATGATAAATCAATCAATCATGTACCTATATTTAATCTAACACAGTATTTAACTTATTAAAAATCTAAAACATGAAGTTATTCCTCATCTGCAGGATGGTAATGTAAATAGGAGAGGTAGAAAGAAGAAACAGCTGCTCAACATTGCAATATTTAGTAGAGTACAAATTATAAATCACATCTGTCTTGGGACGAGGAAGGAAGATCAGTCAGTGTCGAGACGAGTTGGAGTTTGAAACTGATAAAAATGGCGGAAACACAACTTTGATGGGTGACATATCGTGTACAAGAAACCAATATTGATCCAATAGTGATCTACGTCCTTTTATCA